CTGCGACAGCCCGGCGTCCCGTACACTTATAGTTTCGTCATGTCCGTCCCCGGTTTTGCTTGAAAAGTTTTGCACTGGAGAGCTGTAATTTTGTAGAGATAAATGACATATACGATCCCGCCGACAAAATAGTACATGTAATCTGGGGATGTTTTTTTCATCATCTACCCCATCGTGTGGAATATTGTTGAATAGATTCTTTAAAATTACTTAGAGGTTCCTAAAACTATCTTTCGATTTAGGGATCCGTTTGTGAAATCATCATCATCAGCCTATTAATGTGCCCACTGCTGAGGCACAGGCCTTCCCTATGGATGGAATAGGAAGATTGAGCCATGACCCACCACGCGGGCCCAGTGCGGATTGGCGGGTGCTAACGACTGCAGATGCAGCCGGGACCAACGGCTTAACGTGCCTTCCGAAGCACGGAGGAACTCGAGATAGTAAATTTTTGGTCACCCATCCAATGACCGACCACTTGCGCGGACAGTCGGCAACGGTTGCCGCGACCACGCCCACACTCCCGGCGTGCATTGGGGGGACTGCGGTCCTCAGAATGTACGCCGGGTGACCGGTGCAGGAGTATTGTCTGGTTTTTAGTGGCCCTGTTCAGGGCGTTAGGTAGGGCCCTGCTCATTTCACCCGGCCTAAGGGCTGGCTGAAATGAGCAGGGAGGAGTCCCACATACCTTCTTCTCGCTCCCCCGGTGGTTGAAGGATGCGTAAAGCATTTCCCAGACAAAAAAAAAAAAAAAAAAAAAAATGACCGACCACTGCGAAAGTTGCTTAACTTCAACGATCGCAGCCGAACGCGCTAACCACTTGCGCCATCGAGCTCCTCCTTTGTGAAATATTGAACTTTAAAGTGCAATTCAACTTTGGTTAAAGAAAAAATCTTACCTATTGAGAATTCCTGAGAAGAAAACATTAATAGTGACATAGATGTAGTTATTGTAAGTATTAGAACAAAATCTGAAAAAGAAACTATTTAAAAACCGCAATAACATATCATTAATTCCACAACGCTACCATGAGTACCAATGACAACGTCTAGGAGTCGCGCTAAAGTATAAACACTTGAAAAGATCGGGGGTATACCGCATCATCCCCTTCTCAGGGAATGATCGCTTCAGATAAAGCTTTTAGTCAGTAAGTGTCTGACATAACCTTGCAGCCGGCTGTAGGGTATCTATGGGGATTTCACACCCGCTCCCCCGCATGGGAGGAAACTAAAAAACTGGCGGTTATCATTCGTATTAAAAAAACAATAATACCGAATTGAATTTTGAGTTTGAGACGCAGTTTGACTTTGATTCAAGTATTTTAGCTGAGATACATAGTTTGATGATGTCGATTCTGGCATGATTCTCTAAAGCTAAACTTAAATTTGACAACAGTGCATCCCTGTCATTCTCTATACAGAATGAAAAGGAGAGACTGATGTTAAATTTAGTTTTAAGTTTAGAGAATCACGCCAGAATCGATACCATTGATTGGTTTTTCTACTGGTCAAATATATTGTGGAAACTGCTGGCAACTACGGAACCCTACACTGCGTGTGGCACGACACTCACTTGGCCGGTTTACACTTAAACTAAAACAATAGAAAAGGAATGTTACAGTAGGTATGTTTATATAGTGGAGAGTTCTTTGAAAGATAACCCAAAATTATTTTGAACATTCATAAAATCCAAATCAAGTATTAATGAAATAGTAGTAGGTACTTTGAATTACGCAGATAATGTGCTTAATAACGGGCAAGCGATCTGCAATGCCTTTCCTACGTACTTCCAGTCATTTTTTTTAAACAACCTCTTTATTTAAGTAAATAAATTAGCGCGAACCATTATGTTCCTACTACTGCCGATATTAATAAAATTTACATTAACATAGATGAAATTACTAAAATCCTTTTGAAACTCGACACATCAAAGTCTGCTGGTCCGGATTCTTGACGAGCACTCTTTCTTATTAACTGCGCGAAAACCATAGTAACTCCAATCTCTATTATTTTAAAGAGATCTTTGGCGGAGAATACTGTGCCAACTACATAAATGGACACGTGCCTTTGTAACGCCGGTTCATAAAAAAGGGCTTAGGACCGACATTACTCATTATCAGCCAATTTCAAACCTCTGCATTATATCTAAGATCTTTGAAAAAAATATTTATGAGCAACTTCATGCAGCGAATGCTTCAAGCATTCGTTTAGTCCAGAGAAGTATGGTTTTCTCAGGGGTCGCTCTGTTGTGTCAAATGTAATATTGCTTAAAGAAGCTAGATTTTAGTAGATGCTATTTATACGGACTACAGTAAGGCTTTTGATCGGATTCAACCTCATTTACTTTTGAATAAGTTGAAAATGATTGGCGTTGGTGGCGACCTTCTAAGGTATCCTCTTATATAGACAATCGCTCACAGGCAGTTGTTATTGAAAATTATATATCTGAATGACTATCGGTGCCTAGTGGAGTCCCACAAGGATCCATGCATCTCTGTGCTATAGTGGGCGCTTATCATGAGTTTGTTTGCTACTCCTTTAACATTAAACAAAAACCCTCTTATTTTGTTAACGATGTAACAACTTTCACTTGCATCATAGTTTCATAAATCAACATTTTTTCTTTTTTCATACGCAACATATTGCGTAAATCCTTTAAATCGTCCATCCCACACCCTCATTAGGGAATTTCGAATAGTAAGTTAACTAATTTAACAGCTTCGTAAGTTCTGGTTGATTAAAACTAACTTACTTAAGCCGCTTAAAGGACAGTGGTCAAAGGAAGGGACCCCGACTAATACGGGTTCGATAACAGACAGATAAAAGGAGTTTCACCTATAAACTATGAAGTGGGATATCCTTTAATTTGTAAAGGAGCTTAGGCGACAAACGACATTTATACTGTACGGGCCGTTACTAGGACCCTAACGACTGTCAATATGTCAATTAGTCACGGGACGATCGTCAGAAGATAATTAATGAAATACGTCAATATCATGTGAATGGCTTTATTGCACTGTCATGTAATGAACAATATTGTTCTTAGAACAATTAGTGGGTCAACTGTGTCAGCAGTTTAGTGCATCGACTCGAAATGCAAACTTGATAAAATACCTATAATTAAAATGCCTTGTACATATACATCCCCCAACTTATATTGTAAATGCGCAAGTTTGTATGTCTGTGTTTGTTACTCCATCAAGTGAAAACTACTGGAAGGCGATATTGTAAAATAAAATCTCATTTCCGGTTTCAGTACCTACCATTTTAAACATTTAGTCCAGTCAATGAAGGTTTTCACCTCCGATTTCGTTGAATCACCATCGATTTTCATGAAAATTGGTAAAGTAGATGGGAGATATCTTAAGAAACAAAAGTGACATAGTGCCAACTTTTGCTTTTGCCCTGGGGGTACATGTAACCTCTTCTCGGGGGTGAAGCTTATTTTAATAAAAATAACTCCAGGAATCGATAGAAAGACGAATTCTAAGCAAAATGTGTCATATAAAATTTTTGGAATAAATCAATACTTTCTGAGTTATTAAAGATCAAAGATTTTGATTTTTCGTGATAAAAATACATGTTTTAAAACGGTTTTTGATAAATAACTCAAAAACTATGAGCTTTTGCAAAAAAAGTATAATTACCAAAATTGAAGTTATTAGAATTGAATTAAACATTGGCGACGTTTACCTACCCACATCAAAAGTAAAAATGTCTCAGTCTTTTGATGTTTCATGTAGTTTTGACCTAAATTTACAAATATGGGATACACAACGATATTAAATAACCTAGATACCTACACCACGTGCGCTCGAAATGTGTACCAACAATCAAGAAGTGCTTGAACACCTCTCACTCATGCGATCCGCGATCGTACATTTTTAAAGAGACACGCGCTCTACGAAGACGAGATTCTACGCGTTCGCGATAGCCGCACAATTACACTTGGTCGGTAGCCCGAATACGAGTGCCAATGGAATTCGAGTAAACGAGTAAGTGTAAATGAACGGAGTCGGGTACGCCCGTATTCGGGTTTTTTTTTATACTCACACCAATAAGCCTACTTAGCCCCAAAGTAAGCACTGTAAAGGCTTGTGTTATGGGATACTAGGGTAACGGATAGAATAAATGAAATGAAATGATATGAAAAATCTTTATTGGCCATCTAGTGTATAAGAAACAGAGGAAAAAAATAAGAAACTTAACCTAAGAACAAAAATAAATCACTAGATTTAAGACGGCCAATCAAGACCCTGCCTCAGCTTATGCTGATACAATGAGAAAATATTCTCTCACTGTATCAGCGCTGGTATTCTGGCAGGGCCTGTTTGAGGGCGTGTTAGGCGCTATAGCAAACAAAATAACAGGTATATTTGAATTGAATACATAAACTGTACATATACAATAAGTATATTTATATATAAATACATATTTAACATCCATGATTGGAGCACAAATGCTCGTATTCATCACACAAACATCTGCCCCCACCGGGATTCGAACCCGTGGGGACCTCTCGAGTCGGCGACACCATGAAACCCGGCGTGTAAACCACTCGACCACGGAGGTCGTCTTTTGTTTACCAACACCGTCCTACACCGTCTTATTACGTATTCCAGTGTAAACATTGCTTCGGGTGCCCGAATTCGAGTACCCGAATACGGGCTAACGACCAAGTGTTATTGCGGCATTAGACTCAAGTATCGTATCATTGGGAGTATTGTAACGAGTAAAGGGCCTTGATAAATTATGCTTCACAGTAAGATAAAGCTCAAATTCTATTGGGGAAATTTTACAGTTCCTGTATACACGTATGATTTTACCATTTTTAAATACTTGATTATCACATTGCAGACCCACCATACCCCTGGGGTGGTGGTGGGACTGAACCATTCCACCGTACTGCTGTGCACTATATGTTTTCAGGTTTTGTTTTTCCGAATATTACGTAGTGTTATTAGCATCCCATATATCAAAGTGTAAATAATGAACCTTGAACAGGCAAAAAGGAGTAAATTAAGGAACATCATCTTGAGAGAGCTCAAACATGCATATGGTGTGAAAAGCAGTCTCATACAAGCTCAGAATGCTCGACAACAGTCAAAATGTCATTGGATGAACGCTCTTAAGTTTTATTTGGTTGTTCTCAATAATAATGTTATTGTGTATTGTATGTTATTTATTTACTTTCAATGCGAATAATTAAACAAAAAATTTAAGCAAGTATGTGATTTGCGAGAGACCGTGATATCTTGCCAAGAACCCAGCCAAAGATTACGTAACAAAATTTATAGACAAGGGACATCTACAAGTACTAATAAAATAAAACAATAAGTCAATAATAAATAAGAGTTTATTTAATTAACTAAGTACAATTTTTAATAATTACTATTATTAAGTATTCGGTTAATATAATAGTGACATCATTATATACAAATAATAACAATAGTGCAATATATTTAATAAATTTTAACGGGAAAAAAATCATTTTATATCACATGTTGGAGGTGAAAATGATATCTACTCAAAACAACCGGTTATTAATTAGATCTTATACAAGTTTAATTTATTCTATGGTATAAGAACAAGAGTAAATAAAAAACTTCTCCTACATTCGTTATTAAAAAAATGGGATTTTTAGTGCCAATGTAAGTAGTTTTGTCATGCTAATATTTTGAGTAGCTGGCGAACAAAACAGTATTAATTACATAAAATTAATTTATAGAAACAGTAGAAAACTAATTGAACATACCTACAGTGATCCTTTCGAGTGGTTTTTAATTAGTTATTTTTGGTAATTTTAACACTGTTTTAGGCGTTTTGACTGAAAATGAGTTGAAATTCAAATTCAGCGGGCCCAAAACCTCCGGACTGTAAAAAAACGAGTGTGCTTATGACCATACGACTGAAGTAAAACTTCTTTAACTCCATCACAATCCATCTCTCCATATATGTGTGAACAATATATACATGTGTGTACATATACATATTTAATTTACTAGTTATAAGAGAAAGAGAGAAAGAAAATGTGCGCGCACACTGCATTCTCTTGCTTATATCCTCCACTCAACTCCCGTTCGCCTCGCCCGAACACACTTTTCGTAACGCGTAACGCATTCGCCAGCTTATTCCCCAAGTCAAGCGTGCGTAAAGAAGTTTTAAAAAAGTATTTTGACCATATGTGTCGTATCTATCCATTTTGTTCGCCAGCTTCTTATATGATCTATGCAAATTGTTACCAACTAAGATTATCTAATAAAGGATTTGCGGACACTGCCGGCTTTCTTTTTTATGTTAAAAGGGTGGCAAACAAGCGTATGGGCTTTATGGTAAGCCACCATAGACTATAGAGGCTTACGATATAAACAACAACACTCGCATCTTTGCGTGCCCTGCAGCGTAGACAGATTTTTATTTTTTTTAATATTGATTTTAAAATCAACTTATGAGCATTTGCTCATACATGACTGTGGCGTGCCAGCCCCACCCACAAGGCCCTTATAACCTCTTTCCGTGTTTTGTGATTCTAGTTATATCTTAAAATTCATAAAATTTCGTCATTCAAATTGTAACGTCGTGATTTTTACGAGCGTATTAAAAACGCCAGAGCCTTTAGTGAAATAAAGTATCATTAAAAAAAATAAGAAAGCCTATTTAATAATCTCTTAAAGCACCATCTGAAAATGAAAGAAAATTCCTAAACAATACACAATATATCTTGCACCATAAATAATTACAATTACATGTATATTTATGGTCAAGACTTCTGTTACGTTAAGAAAATAATTTCAAGCAATCTACATAAACATTTAGCGCTAAATATTAATCGGTGTTTAGCCATGAATGTAGATCAAAATTTTGAACAATATTTGTTTATACTGGGTGTAAGAACACCTTTAACGAAGTGGAATTTTTAGTTCAAAGTGTAATTTCATTATTTTTCATGGGAGTTTCATACCCATACATGTGATCATCACCATCATCTCCATCTCGTGGTCTCATGATCAATTTACATCTATATGTATATATTAATGTTTGTATTCCAGCCAATATTATATCAATGAATACGCTGATGATACTACTAAATACAATAAAATAAACTATTTGCGTTCGCCAAAATTCCTTATAATGTGAATAAATGATACATGAACTAGTTATTAAATGGAAAACGGGTTTATTAATAAGCGTTTAATATAATTTAGTGTAACTAATATGATTGCATTAATTTAGTATTATATAACTTCTACGCAGCGCACACTGTTTGGTCTAAAGGCGCCAGTTCTAGTTTTACGTCGTCCGATTGCAACTCCGACACGATTTCTCGTAACCTGTAAATAGAAATTTTTATTGAGAAATTTTTAATTGAAATAAGTACATTGCAATCACACCTTAATGCAACACAGCGCGCAATTTGTAACATAACGATACAAAATAAAAGTTTATTAAACATCTTATATATAAAACTCTTGTGTCACAATGTTAGTTACCATACTCCTCCGAAACGGCTTGACCGATTTTTATGAAATTTTATATGCATATTCAGTAGGTCTGAGAATCGGTTACTATCTATTTTTCAGACCCCTAAGTGTTAAGGGTTGTCCACCCCTAACATTATTTTTTTTATTTTTTCGGACATTTTTTTTTTGTTTAGCATTTAAAAATACATAGGTCCACCGTAAATTTTCACCCTTCTACCATTAAACCCTATTTTTATGGCGGTACGAAGTTCGCTGGGTCAGCTAGTATTTTTATATAATACTAAAAGTGCTTAAATCTAAAAAACAATTTTACTAGAACATACCAACTCAGCCCAGCAGCTATCAGTTGGCTTCGAACCAGCGCCTTACCATTAATAACGTTTAGGCGGCGGTTGACAACCGCCTGTTTATCCGACTCAATACCCAAAGGTGTTATGTTATAAGTTTTACAGTTCCTGAGTCGAATCTGTTTAAATATACGAGCCGTTATATACAAATAGATATTTTCACTAAATAATTGCCTACTCTGTCATGGTTTTAAAAAACGTACAACCAGCAGCTGACAACAGGGTGCTCAGCGAAAAAAACCGCCTTTACATCTATAAGTATGACCAACTGTGACAAGGACAGGGGAGGGATCAAAAAATCACGAAATTATTGTGACGTGCTATAGATAGTAACCAAAGAGTAGAGTAAGTATACCAGAGGTTAATGACACTTAGAACATTGGGAAATTCTTCAAAGAAAGCAGAGTCATCTAGCGCCCTGATCCCGATTTAAACTTGTTAGTAACTTCTCAAAATATCAATAGATGTCGTGTCTATGAAGTATTTGTTTTCAAAGCTTGTCAAGGCTTGGTCGTCTTCGTCGCTTGCGCTTGTCGGGTTTTGATCAATTTTGTGCGTGTTTGTTTCCTGAGCTACAGTCAGACGTTGAGTTAAGATTTTTTCTCCTCCGTCGTAGTGGTTAGTGAAACTGTGATTGCGATACGGACGCTTTAAGTTTAGTGTTAAGGATCGCTTATGCAAAATTCTACATAAATATTAGAAATGCAAATAAATCTAAAGAAAATAGAACTAATACCACTATAAATAAATTAACGTGGACCACGCAGCAGACGGGACTCGAACTCGCACCCTTCGCTGTCCGGGCGTATGCACTGACCATTACGCTACCGCGGCCCTGATGACCGCGTCGAATTCTTTCTAGCCTTTCTTAAGCTGCAAGGCAGCACCATTGTATAACTACAAAAACGCTGCCTGGTCCGCGTGGATTTCTTTCTAGTTATATTTTCTTTAGGTATAAACACCGAGCAGTTACATGCTTAAAAAATAAAAACTATACTGTAAATACAAAAAACGAGCGAGCCTTAAAGTAGTCGCGTATGATGTGTGAGAGTCGCTGTAGTGTCAGTGCATTCGCCCGGATTGCGAAGGGTGCGGGTTCGAGTCCCGTCTGCTGCGTGGTCCGCGTGGAAATTTTTCTATGTATTGGTTTTATTAAAAATCTACAAAACATTCTGTCAAAAGTGATTTTATTTGATTGACAGTCTGATGACTAATCGCGCATAAGCGGCGGTCAACAGGCGCGGCGCTGGACGCCACCCTTCGGCAGTATTTTCAGTCTAGCTCCTAATCTACTTTCACGCCCATTATAAAAGTTGGCACCAATGTTCTATACAATATTAGCAATTTATATAAAAAAAAAAACTAAATGGTCTAACTTGGTGAAAATCAAGGAAAAAAACTTAAATTGTTTTTTTTTACGAAAAGTTTTTTTTTTCTTTTCCAAAAACACAGTTAAAAAGCCCAGTAAATAAAGTAGGAAATCCAGTGGTTTAGTTATTTTAATATATAATTTTATGAGTCCATAATCGGCTTTGAAGTACTGCATGCCAACCGGTTGTCGAAAACTTCAAAGTCCCATTACTCTTTAACTAGTCATTATATCACAAAAATATTTGGTAAACGTATCAATAATAAGTATAAGTAGAACATACTCAAATATTACTGAAATCGGAAACATCGAGTTTTTTTACCGGTCCGCTTCACGTGGAATGCCCCAATTACTAGTTTTTTTTTGTGTCTGGAAAATGCCTTACGCATCCTTCAACCACTGGGGGAGCGAGTAGAAGGTATGTGGGACTCCTCCCTGTCCCCTTCAGTCAGCTCTAGAGCTCGCTGATGTGAACAGGGCCCTACCTACGCCCTGAACAGGGCCACTAAAACCAGGCAATACTCCTGCACCGTCACCCGAAACGCACTATGAGAACCGCGGTCCCCCTAGTGCGTGCCGAGAGGGCGGGTGTAGTCACGGAACCCGTCTCCGAATGGCCGCGGATCCCTAACAATTACCTTGAGAGCTGAGCTGGAGTGACGTATATAGTGTCTTCTGACTGGGCATCGCTTGCGGGAGCTGGGTATTGTATGGTGCCTAATTCCAACGCCTTGCCCGTCAGTGCCTAAAGGAGAAAATAGGTAAATTGTAGCTTTCAGATTATCTTCTATAATATAAAAATGAATCGCTGAATGTGTTGCTAAGTGCAAATCTGGAGAACAGCTGAACCGATTTCGATAATAGGGGTGATGACGGGGTACAGTAAACGAAATTCTATTTAGTCCGTTAGTTAGATGATCAAAAAATAATGGACACTTATTTTTTCTTTGGGAAATCAACCAAAAAATGACAAAATTATAGCGTGTCAAAGTTTGGCAGTAGGGGCTCGTGACGTCACTTTTGAGTGAATTTTCACTTATAAGAGTATACTCAAACGTGACGTCATGCGACTTTTCAAATAAATATATCTCTGCGATGTTTATATTATGTGAAAAAAGAAATAAAATACGTGTCCAATACTTTTTGATAATCTACCTGATAAAGGAAGAAAAAATAATTAGTCATCATCCCTATTCCCGCAGCCTATTAATGTCCCCACTGCTGGGCCCAGTGCAGATTGGTTTGTGCTAACGACAACAAATGCAGCCGGGACCAACGGCTTAAAGTGCCTTCCGAAGCACGGAGGAACTCGTGATAGTAAATTTTTGGTCACTCATCCAATGACCGACCACTGCGAAAGTTGCTTAACTTCAACGATCGCAGCCGAACGCGCTTACCACTTGCGCCATCGATCTTTTATTATTATAGTTATAAAGATCAAAAACTCTCGAGATTGTTTCATGCATAGTTGAGCAATCTCTCTGGTAATCGCGATCATATCGAACGATCCGCTACAGGATTTCCCTATCACAGATTTTCTTTATTTCAGCCCTTACTACCATTGCAATTAAGATGAGAATCGCCTGTGAGTTGTTCACACTTACTTGTGCAAGCTCTCTGGTCGGAAACTCGGCGAAGTCAGCTTCGACGCAACGCCACGGCCGATGCAACATTATCTGGCTGCGCACCTCAGCTTGCAATGCGGATAGACGTTCCTACGATAGAAATACACGATTAACTATTATATGAATGCAATTTTAAGCTATTGCATAGCTTTTATTGCGGGCTTTGAGCGCGGCAATCGAATCAAGAAATTCCATAACGAAAATAAACCTAACACCCCCCACTCTGACCGGCACAGCGATGCGGCGTTGAAAGCCGCCGACTAGACGTATGCGTGTAGACTAGCTGCTAACTGCTCATAACTGATTCTATCTCTTTTAGATACAATGCTAGGTGAGACAGCATACTTTTTGGCCGCGTCCACGAGTGAGTTCGAGCCCGCGACTAGTTGAACCATAACGTGCATGTATATACGTGTTTGTATAGGTATCTATCATCCATGTACAACATTGAATAGCTGTACACGTAAAATTTCTTAGCACTAGTGAACTGTAATTTTGTGGAGATATGTTTATCAATCACGCCGACAAAATGGTAGAAAATTTTGAAAACATATTTTTTTAAGAGTAGCTCCCCTACATGTAACCTGGCCATGATTTATTTTCATCGTCTACCCTGTCGTATGGGATCTCTTTGAATAGGTCCTTTAAAATTACTAAAGGGTTCCTAAGACTATTTTTCGATTTAAGTATCCGTTTGCCAAATTTTCAACTTTAAAGTACTAATTTTGTAAAATATAAAAATCGCGCCGTGAAATCTTCGCCATAGGGAGATTTCTCTATTTTTAAGACTCCAAGGACGTTGGATCAGACCATAGACATGATTTGCTCACCTCCAGTTGTCTCCTGATCTCCTTCTGCTTCTCTTTGTGCTGTTGCAGAGCTCTCGCGTACTTCCCTGGCTCCTCAGGGAACTTCACTAAGCCAGAACGAGCCACGAACAAGGTCCATTCCTGTGTAAAACATTTCATTAAATAATCGTAAAATTATTATAATGATACCAAGGCCCATTTGCAGCAAAATTGCTCAATCTCGATTCAAATAAAATTTTTACACGCTTTAATCCATAGATTTTTTTTTAATGTCAATTTGACATTATTGTATGCGCTTAATCAAGTTTTAGTTAAATTGAGATTTAGCAAAACTACTGCAATAATATGCAACAATAATGTAAATATTACATCAGTGTATTTTTTTTTTATATATTTCCAACACACGGTTACACACCCCAATTAGCCTAGCCCCAAAGTAAGCACTGTAAGGCTTGTGCTACGGGATACTAGGGTAACGGATAGAATACATATACTATACATATATTTATATAGAAATACATATGAAACATCCATGAATGGAATACAAATGCTCGTATTCATCACACAAACATCTGCCCCCACCGGGATTCGAACCCGGGATCTCTCGAGTCGGCGACACCATAAAACCCGGCGTACTAACGACTCGGCCACGGAGGTCGTCAACTATGTTTCTTAAATCTATATTAATTAATAAAACTTTTTTTGCGGCCACTATAGACGCTTACGATACCAAAAATTACACTGGCGCTTTGTTTTAATCTCAGCCACCGAAAGCTTTTACTCACAGTGTGCAGGGCAGCCAGCCGGGCTTCCAGCGCGGCAGCGGCCTGCCTGCGGGCGAGTGCAGGGGCGCAGCCCGGGTGCTCCAGGGGGCGGAGGCTCCGAAGGGTAGCTCGTTCAGCCCGACGGCATGCGGCCACGCGGGCTGCGCGCTCGCGTTCCACCGTCCTTTAGTGGAAGAAATATGAAACAAATATTATAAGATTGGCCTTTTATTTAAAAACTGCTGTCAAATGCACAAATAACGAATGCGAATAATAGAATAGATATGTAAAGTTTAAGTATAGCATATTTTAATTTCACCAAATTGTTCAGCAGTTGATTACCAAAAAGTGCTCCAATTGTAACTAACCTTTAAATGACATTAAATACAGATTTTGTAACGAGCTTCAATCGATGCATTTACACGTCCCAAAGCACATCTTAATGTATCTGTATATAATTTTTCGTTGTGATATTGAAGATTTCGCATTGCATGCATGCTGGATGCACTGAGAAAAACGATTCGTAAAAGAAAAAAACAGTGTCTTGAATCGAGTGTGACCTTGAGTTGCAAACGGAGATTTAAAAATTGACCTCCATGCCTTACTGTTAACAGTAATTTGACAATTTGGACACATAAAAACGTGATATATCGCACGTCACAATCAATAAGGTATTAAGTCGACAAAACCATTTATTTTTCTATTTGCGTTTCGAAAACTACATTTTTTTCTCTATAAACTGATAAGATAATTGTATTTTAATTCGAAATAGTTTTTGAATTATAGCAACACATGTCGTCAATTTCTAGGCAAAGTTTATGATTGTGAGTATTCTAAACAGTATTATGTTAATACCCTATTGCCCGTTCGGATTAATACAAGTTTGAAGTTTTACTTAAAATAATACCCTCCGGTATTATATATAAAAAAAAGTAAAATTTTATTTAATATATTATTTTCAGCGAAATTATTTTAAAATGATAGTAGTTGTAATTTTAACATGAGCCATTTGAATCATTTGAACTGCTTATAAGTATTCTCTCTACCCAGTCACATAAAAGTACTTCTAAAATAAAAACTATTATTGATACACTAACTAAACTTACTCAACACAAAGAAGGATAATGTACGTTTAAATCAAGTCATCATTTTAATCATTTGAACAAGTAGTTCCGCTTCTATGATTTTTTAAAACATTCAAACGCGATATCTCAAAACACTGGTTTTGAAGATAATACCCTTTTGTATGTGACGTGCGATATATCGCTGTGATCATGCTTAGAGGCACTTCAAACCCACACTACGTTTAAACAGTTAATTTACTTACCAGCTTAGCACCTTCAGTTGATGCTGCAGAGCTTCGTTCACCTCGCCGGCAGCCACGCCTGGCACCACCTTCACCGGCGTCTCTTCTGAACATCATGCAATACGAACATTGTAGTAACAATAAATTAGCGACTCAGCGCTTGCAATTCTGATCATCAGTATGTCGAAATCGTTTAAGAGTCATTCTAAGTAAAGTGATTTAGGAGAAGTGTTAAAACAAACCTGACGAATATAAGCCAGATTCGACATGATCATGATGTGATATATAATATTTATAATACTAGTGGGCGCTTGCCCCTCGTTCTACGATTTCCATCCCCTTAAGGAATGAGTTCTGCGATAAAAAATATCCTAAGTTCTTCCCGGGACTCAAACTATCATTGTTACAAATTTCATATAAATCAGTTCAGCGGTTTAAGCGTGAAGACAGACAGACACTTTCACATTTATAATATAAGTACAAGATTAAAGGGAATTCTGTAACTTATCTGAGTCTAATACATGAACTATAGATACCATCTGTAGACAAGCTTTTACTTTTGCGTTCTTGTAATATTTAGTTTTTTTTTTCAGTAAAAATAAAACAATTTTCGTCCATTCGTTTTTACAGGACAACTACTTAATATCATTGAAGAAAATAACAAAACTTGTTGTTGTTAAACCGTATCAAAATACTATGAGAAACTAATGCTTACTTTTCTGTGTCTGTCTGTTTATATGACAAAAATAATGATTTTCTCTAGTTTTTGAAGTCAAAGGCTATCTATTAAGCTAAGTATCATCAGTGGACATGCTGGGTCAAGACGTCATACAAATTTGCCCAATATTTTTTTGAATGTTACCAGCTTTAACAATAAAATAATAGGTAATAACAGGGATACTTTAGGTTGGAAGATCAGAATTGCCAGCACTAATTACCATTTACCAACACATACAAGTTACAACGAACAAGCACCATGACCGTGTGTTGTCGGTGACATAAGAAAAGCATGACTGTTAAACATTTAATTAATTTTATAATAACAAAAAAAATATTAGGAAGAAATTTGAGTATATGAAAAAATCAATTAGATTGTAGTGATAAACAGTAAGGGTTATATAAGTGTAGGAAATTATTATGTACGATTCTCAGTTACCGGCGCTTGTTCCGACAAACGCAGTAAATTTACATTTTGCTAAAGGAACCGCACGCTTCATTGAATCGCCCGTAATTTTGCACTTTCGAACAATGTATACAAGTTTGGTAAATGCATTTTTTTGCAAATATGTTGAAAAGTTCTTTATTTGCATGCAATTCAAACAGCTATGAAGCCAACCGGCTGCGCTCGCACACTGCTACAGCCGCTCGGTTCCGCATGCAAATAAAGAACTTAACTAATTCGTGGATGTTTCTATTTTCTTCAGCAAAAAATAAAATGCGTGGCACTGCGCTCCGACGCGCGCCGGTAAGTGAGAATCGTACATAATATTTTTACTAAACTTTAAAAATAAAACTATAGCTTAATAATAGCTACAGTTTTTAATTTTTGAATATTATGCATTAATTTTACCCTTATACTACCTATACAAAAGTTTCTTCCTAGAAATATTAAAAAATATGATCAGAAAGTTAAAAGTCACTGTTCACACGAAAAGACCATTTCTTATAAAAACTCGTTATTTAAAAGATTGATGCGTAAGCTATTGAACAATGGTGTCGATTCTAGCACGATTCTCTAAACCTAAATTTAAATCTGACAACAGTGTATCCTTGTTATTCTCTATACAGAATGAAAAGGAGAGACTGATGTTAAATTTAGTTTTAAGTTTAAATAATAATATCGAAATTAACTGTAATTATCTCGAATAAAATACATGGGGCCGAATTCTCCCATAATTCTTTAAACTCAAAACTGAATTTGACAAAACAGGCTGTCCTTTGCATTATGGTTAAATGCATGACAACGAAACACTGTTGTCATATATAATATTAGGTTTAGAGAATGTCTGATAAAGTTCTTTTACGTGTAAACAGTTTTAGTTAATATCACGTGTAGACATTTTTATGTACAACCATGCACATTAGATGGACGAAATTAAAATTAATTAAAAAATATTAATAATGTCAATAACAAGATTAGTTCATCTCCATCGTTCCGGCTTAGTAAGTATTTATATTTTCTTTTTAATATCGGTTAGATGAGAACCTTTGCCATTCCCTTAAACTTTCAACTTCAATTCATGTTATTTTTTATTTCTCTTCTAACTTCTATTAATATTTTATTCTAATAACAAAATTCATAAAGAAGTAAGTATTAAAATAAATTTCATTCTTGTATTGCTACGCCTCTACCCATGTTATGGCGGATCACATTGTGAAATTGTTGCGCAAATTATTTTGGTTGCACAGTTTTATTTATACAACTAAAACTGCCAAATTCATCATCATCATCAGCCAATTAATGTACCCACTGCTGATGCACAGAAATGCCTTATGGATAAAATAGTGAGTTTGGGCCGTGCCCACCACGCGGGCCCAGTGCGGATTGGTGGTTGCTAACGACTGCAGATGCAGCCGGAACCAACGGCTTAACGTGCCTTCCGAAGCACGAAGGAGCACGAGATAGTAAACTTTTGGTCACCCATCCAATGACCGACCACTGCGAAAGTTATTTAACTTCAAAGCCCTGCGCCATCGAGCTCTTCTAAAGTGCCAAATTAATGATTAGCCTAATTAAATAATCCCAAGATTTAAAACTACGGATTAATTTTAAATATTTATCCAATTTGTAATTAAAAAAATCTAAAATGGATGCAAAATAATAAAACAAAACACTTTGGTCATCAACATCAATCATGCAACACTGAGAATAATTTGACACAAATACCACAGTAAATATAAAACTAAGATATATATCTATATCTTACGGATAACTTCTTTTGGCGCTGTAACGGGAGTCAGGGCCGCTATAGTATTGAAAACATTTATATTTTATAGAAAAATTGTATATATTTATTTCAAAATCTGTCTACGTATTCAATTTTGATTATACCACCAAAAATTTAAAAAGCAATTTCGAGTATAGTAGCTGATAAAAAATTTGATAAGTGTCTCAAAAGGTATCCCGGGTTCGATTCCTGTCGTATTTATAATTATCATTTTTCCCTAGTTCTAGTTCTGTAAGCATAATTTTCCTATATTTAATAATGGACATATACATATACAAAACCGGAACTCAATAAAATTCTCAGTACATTTTTGAGACTAAAAACCCCCCTTTTCATATTCGAAAACTGTTCAAGAATAAAATTAGTGTGCAAATTTAAATTTAATTACTGTGACGTATATTTAATAATAATTTCCGGAGAACTCACACCAATCATTAAGTCCCAAATGTGGCACAGCTATAAAATTAAAGAAAATACAATCACACAAAAATGTGTCATAGATTGTGTTATTAAGGACTCAGTTCGGCCAGACATATTGTATGTCCTAAATTTTGTTACTAACAATTAGCTCTATGTTACCTTAAATAAATTAACTATTATGATGTACCTATGATGACCCTCGGGGAATGTTACTCATGTTAAAATCACTCCTCAATTAAACTTTAAATCAATGATAGATTCCGATTGTATATTGCGCTTAAATTATTATAATAACTAGGATAAAATAATAAAAAATGCAAAACAAAAAGGCTGTATGGATATAAGATTCCTTTGCCTTACCACAAATGAGAGAACATTAAAATTAAATAAAATTCCGCGCATTTTTGAATACTATAAAATATCATATTGTAATGGTTTTAAAACATAATAAACAATAAGGAGTATTAAGGGAAGGCATGCTGATTATTATGTTTATGGAGTTATTTTAGGTGGCGATCTGACATGATAAAAAAAAATACTTTATGCCCGATATTTCTTTTTATGTTACAAAATTTTAGTCAGACCGCTGCCTTTACTATCTGACCGAGATATTATTGTTTCTTAACATAATATATTTAAATAATTAATTATTTTGTAAATAATTACAAAGAACTTTTGAATCAGTCATGTGGAACCGCCATTACTGACCAACAACCTCAACAAAAAGGAGTGTAATTTTAATGTGAAGAATTCGCTGTGTCAACATTTTATCATTTGCTATACATACAGGTTAAAACCTTGGCCGTCTATAAAATAAAATTAAAAAAAAAATATTAAATATGAGAATCGAGCAGTTTAATTCTACTTGCTACTTATAAAAGAAATGTCTAAGTTTTTATGTATGTTACACAAACACGCAAAATCGGCTAAACGGATTTGGATGAAATTTGGCACACATACACTTCATTGTCTGGATTGAAACACAGGATACCTTTTAATCCGTAAGAATATAAGGTTCCTGTGGGATTTTCAAAAAATTAAGGTGAACGCGAATGAAGTCGCGGCAGGAAGATAGTGCTTAAATAAATGTTGCCCATCTCTTATCTTGTATTAAATAATATCTCGGTCAGTTAGCGTCATGCTATCGTAACATTTAGCGCCTCACGTGAGTAATCCCGGTGTGGAGGCGCCGGCGACACCGCTGCGCGCGCATACAAACTCATTATTAATACAAAAACTCTTCACACTTTTTAAATATTGATAAACAAAAAAATAAAATTCTTTCTTGTGTAGTTTCAAAGGGCGTAATTTTTTTTTTTTATAATTCTGGAGTGTTATTCATTATTGTTTTGCCTTTTTTGTGCGGCTTTAAATATTAATTAAACCTTTATGGATGAAACTTTGTTAATGAAAAAGAGTTAAATTTATTTAGTTACAGAAAATGCGTAGTGTTTGATATATGACATAAATTCACTCATTTGAAAAATTTAGAAATGCTATGCTTACTATTTTCTTATCTAATCTTGAAATTACGCCCTTGAAAACGTTAAATTGTGTTTGACTTTTAGTTAAATTGTAAGCTGCAAACTGTAAAAAGGCTAGTCATTTTACATTTTACTGTGGATAAATTACTTTAATGCTATTTGTTACAATTATTATTGTACCAAATAAGTACTGTACTTAACAGGTGCTATAATGTCTTATCGATTGTATATTTATAGTACAAATCATTAAACTAAATATGTAATAAAGTACCATATCCAGAATACCCTAATGACAAAATTTATTTAGCTTAAGTCTGAAAATTTGAAATTTTTTGTTATTTTTAAGGTGTATGTATATTTCCACAATTATTGAAAAAAAAACAGTTCGCAAATAAGTAATTCATCCACAATGAAACATTTCAAAGCCAATGTTAAATTTCACTCAAATTCAGAAAAATAAATTAGCACTTTTCCAACTGAACTTACTTAGCAGCAACAAATCTAGAACACAAAGTTCCTATGTAAAATAATCCTTTGTCTATTCATAAACAAAAAAAACACAATTGAACTGAAAAACAAAAGACTATCAAATTATTCAATTGCGGTTATGAAACCAAATATGAACTTTACAACTATAAAGATAAGGTGCGCGAAATAAATATTTGCATTATTGCAAAGATTTATTTCACTATGACAAAATATATTATTAACCAAAACATGTCGATTGAAATAATAAATAAAAACCAACAGTACATTTATCATTCCAATATACACTTTATAGCCATAAAGGTTTGTCAATGTGCTTGATTCTAGCACGATTCAAAACTTAAATTTGAATTTGACATCAGTATCTCCTTCTCACTCTGCAAAGAGCATATGACAAAGATACACTGTTAACAAATTTAATTTTAGGTTTTGAGATCGTGCCAGAATTAAAGACAATCGCAGTTGTCATTCAAATATAGACCCAATTAATATGGAGATAAAGTACATACCGTGGTGAGAGCCTCCTCGTTTCGCGTACAGTTTAAGTTTGTCCCGCAACGCGCCTCGTTCGCTCTCTAAAGAGTCTATGTCTTGTTGCAAATGGTCCATTGTCTCTTCGAACTCTTTCTCTTTCCTGTTCGAAACAAAAAAGAAGATAGTATATTTTAAGAAGACTCGATAATTTTCTCAAGCTCGATTAGAAACATATAGGTTTGTTTATATAATCCTCTTCTTTTCGAAAACTTGACAGAATAATTTGTAATAGTGTATTTGACAGTATTAATAATAAAGTGAAAATTGTTAGCAATTAGAATGAATATATAAAAAAATCATAATTTTACTAAAACCCACGAAAAAGATAACAGTATTCTTATCTATTGTCACGTGACCCAAAACGCTTGGGATTAGCGGAGCCTAAAATGACGTCACACGCAAGTAAACTTCCGGTTAAAGTGGCATTACATTGTATCGTTTGACGTTTTAATAACAGTCGTGTGACGTCGCACACTAGTAAGACGCCATATTGCCCAGAGAAACGTTTTCGCAGCAACTTGAAAATGGAGTTTTTGACATGGTTATTTTTACTGAAATACACAACAGAATGATGAATATCCACTTTTTACGGACTCCATAAGCATTATAGTCAATAACGTGAGATCGTTTTCTAAAACTTGTCAAATACCCTATTGTGTAGTACTGACTGACTAAGGAGTCCCCCGACTACAATCACTTCTTTTTCATCACTCATCACACATCACTTTTAGTAGCTAAAATTCCACGCGGGCCAGGCAGCAGACGGGACTCGAACCCGCACCCTTCGCTATACGGGCGAATGCATTGACCATTATGCTACCGCGGCCCTGATGGCCAAGTCGGACTTTCTCTAACATTTCTTAGGCTGCAAGGCAGCGCCATCTCTTTGCACTGTAAGTCACAATATTGTGGGTTACCCTTAAGTATGTAAAACTTATATATTTTTGGAATGTACTCATCGAGGACTTTTATTTGATATGCATAGTTATTTCCCCAACTATACTTACCTTTTGAGTTGGTTCTGGACATCTTTGATTCAACTGATCTGAATTTCTGATAACTCCCCTTGTCAGCAATTTTGCTTTATCCCGATTTATATAAAACTAGATTTAGCCCATACAATAATGTCAAATTTATATTGACCTATTTTCTATAGGATATCTAGTCCTTGCACTTTGGTGTAAGACAAAAAGTAAATGAAGAATCTGAGGTTCTAAAACGTCTTTATAAGATTTGATACTAGTCAATGATTAGGTATAATTTATGTAACCTATAATTTATTAACAACTTTAAACTAAACATTAAAAAAATAACAACAAACTCAACAAATAAAACAAGGAAATAAACAGAATTTAGCAAATGAATATGCACGCTCGCGTTAACAGGCTGATCGAAGATGGCTGACGTAAACCAACCGATTAAAAAAACACAACAATACTTACATCATGTCTACTCTTAAATATTGTCGTATTATAATACGTCTTTAGGAATGATTGTGTTTTTAGGTCTTTTTCCATGTCAACTTAAGTTGTTAAAATATTTTTATCTAAAATAAAAATATACAAAATTATGATGTGTATGTACGTTAAAAATGTGTAAAATATTTTATTTTTATATTCATAATGTATGTACCAGCTTTAAAAATAATTAACTTAATGTTTCGCTGCATTTCCTATGTTTTTTATTTTATTTTTTTTTCTTTTGTCAAACGTGACCTTAGAAAGTATCCTTTTTATGGTTTGTTTACATTTTGTCTTTTTTTTTTATAGAAAGTTCCGACTGACTCCACCCCACCTGATGTTAAGTGATGGTGAAGTCCAGACGTGAAGATAGCTGCTACAGCAGTTCTACCTGCCACACCAGCCATCCTCACCTTGCCGGCCTGTATGTTGCTTCTTCACGCCTCTTTTAAAGGATCCCAGGTTGTAAGAAGGAGAGAACACGTGAGCAGGCAGAGCATTTCATTTACGGATAGTGCGAAAACGAAATGAGTCACCAAATTTCTTTGTACGCTTTGGAATTGTGGCCACAGTTAGACGGTGACACCGAAGGCCAGCGCGCGTGGTCCTCTGAAGGAAAGGGGAAGGTGGAATAAGAGAGAATAACTCTTCTTCACACCAATGTGAATAGACTATAGTTTTAGTTGAATTGTGATTATAACTTACCTCTTGAGTTGGTTCTGGGCATCTTCTAATCTCCTCTGCAGCTGTTCAGCTCGCAGTTCCGAGTCTCTTGCTGCTGCTGTCAGCTTCCTTTCGCCTAGCTCTCTTCGGATCTGCATCTCTGATAACTCCTCTTGTTTAGCCTTGAAGTATACGAGAATGAGGTATTTAATTAAATACTCTTATGGCTTACACAACGTATCGATTAACTTTCCAGTCGGATAAAATAGGGTATTTGACAAGTTTTATAAAACGATCTCACGATAACCTCTGTGAAGTTAGCCCCTCACTTTTTGAATTTTATTATTATCTAGGTTGTTCTGGGTTGTTCTATGTTTGTTCTACATTGTTCCAAAGTATTATTAGAAAAAAACTCAAATTTGAAGCTGCCAGACAAGAAAAACCGTTTTTCTATGGTAGCCCCCCATGTTTGGAAATTCATTATTTTTTTAGCTGTTCCAAGTTGTTCTAGTTGTTCCGAACATTGTTCCAAAGTATTATTTGAAAATATTCAAATTCGAAGCTGCCAGACAAAAAAAACCTTTTTATGGTAGCCCCCCATGTTTGGAAATTCAATATTTTTTTAGTTGTTCCAAGTTGTTCTAGTTGTTCCGAACATTGTTCCAAAGTATTATTTGAAAATATTCAAATTTGAAGCTGCCAGACAAAAAAAAAACGTTTTTATGGTAGCCCCCCATGTTTTGAAATTCAATACTTTTTTAGTTGTTCCAAGTTGTTCTAGTTGTTCCTAACATTGTTCCAAAGTATTATTTGAAAAAACTCAAATTTGAAGCTGTCAGGCAAAAAAAACCGTTTTTGAGATAGCCCCCCATGTTTGGAAATTCATTATTTTTTTAGTTGTTCCAAGTTGTTCTAGTTGTTCCTAACATTGTTCCAAAGTATTATTTGAAAAAACTCAAATTTGAAGCTGTCAGACAAAAAAAACCGTTTTTCAGATAGCCCCCCATGTTTGGAAATTCGTTGTTTTGAAAGTTGTTCCAAGTTGTTCTAGTTGTTCCTAACATTGTTCCAAAGTATTATTTGAAAAAACTCAAATTTGAAGCTGTCAGGCAAAAAAACCGTTTTTCAGATAGCCCCCCACGTTTGGAAATTCATTATTTTTTTAGTTGTTCCAAGTTGTTCTAGTTGTTCTTAACATTGTTTTAAGGTATTATTTGAAAAAAATAAAATTTTAAGCTGTAAGACTAAAAAATACTTTTATTTATAAAATAAAATCAATCGTACCTACCAGAGACAATAAATATATCAAAAATCAATTTAAACAATGACGATTGTACAACAACAGTACAACCGTGGGCTATATCGTTCTAATTTCATTTAATCATTTTGAATTAAATTAATAGAAAAGAAAACATTAGAATATAGGGTAAACTCCCTAATTGTTGGCACTTTAAGAGTAGGTAGCATGTCAGACATTAAATTACCATAAAATCACATCTAAATGAGTTAGTACACAACACATGTTACACATGTAACAGTATCAAAGAAAGTAGTTTAATCTTTGTTTTCATAATGGTATAATCAATGAAGGCAAAAATCAGCTGCAACCTCCGATTTCGTTGAACCTCCATCGATTTTCATGAAAATTGGTAAGTAGGTGGGGTACCATAAGAAACAAAAGTGACATAGTGCCAACTTGCGCTTTTGCCCTGAGGGTAGATACCACACCTTCTCGGGGGTGAAAATTATTTTAATAAAAATAACTCCAGGAACAGATAGAAAGAGAAATTCTAAGTAAAATTTGTAAGATTAAGTTTTCGGAATAAATCAATACTTTCTGAGCTATTAAAGATCAAATATTGTGATTTTGCGTGATAAAAATACATGTTTAAGCGGACTTTCATAAATAACTCAAAAACTATGAGCTTTACAAAAAAAATATTAGTACCAAAATTGAAGCTAATAAAAAAACAAACAAACGCCTACTTTGAAAAACCTTCTAATTTCAATTCAAAGTGAGCTATAGGTAATTGTATGTACATATTTTTTTTTCGGCAAGTACTTAAATCTAAGTATTCAAACCTAAATAACGGGAAACCGATGAATTTATGACATACACTTCCGGAGCACTTTTTAAATTCCTCAGAAATACCTTTATAATGAGCACTGTAAAAAGTTAATAGCTTCAAAATTGAAAAAGTTATGATAAAAATAAGATAACACTTAATTTTTTTAGGAAAAACGAAAAATAAACCCTTCATTCCAACCATTCATCAAAATGCATCGGTTTCCCGTTATTTAGGGTTGGAAACTTAGATTTAAGTACTCGTCGAAAAAAACTATACATACAATTACCTATAAGCTCACTTTGAATTCATATAAGAAGGTTTTTCAAAGAAGGGGTTTTTTTTTTATTAGCTTAAATTTTGGTAATAATAAGACTTGCAACGAATAGTATATTCGGCAGTATACCGAATATTCGGCGAGGCCCCTGACCGAATAGCTGAATATTAGGCAAAAGTATTCGGCTGGATTTTAGCGCCAAAAACTTGTACAAACGTGATTGTTTCGCGCCCCTTTGTTTGCAACGCAATTCAGTCAAACACAGTTTCAACAGAAATGGATCTTTTCTTAAATAATTATATTTCGAATATATCACGTCATGACAACCCATATACATGGTGGCAGCAAGGAAAATTGAATTTCCGTGTTTGATTAAGATTGCAGCAAAATATTTGTCGGCGCCAGGAAGTAGTGTTTATTCAGAGCGTCTTTCCTGTGAAGCAGGGATGGTGTAGGAGAAAAAAAGAATTTCTGCACCATAACCTTCCCCTTCTAAATTTTGATTATGAAAATAATTCAAATGCATAAAAAAATCTTAACTTGTTTAATACAGAAAATGATTAAATTATGTACCTGTTTTATGTACCAATGACTACTTAATAAATGATTATAAAAGAAATGAGAACCTTACCCTTTTAAATTTTGATTACCACAATAATTCAAATACATAGAATCCTCCATTTTTCCAATTCAGAAAATGATTATGTACCAATGACTACTTTAATGATTATATATAACAGAAATGAAAATATGAATGTATACCTACGTAATCAATCGATATTAATTTTCATTTTACCAATTATTTCTCTATGACAAAATATATTATTTAAGTATTCGGTATTCGGCCGAATATAATAAAAGCAGCCGAATAGGCCGAATACCCAATAGTAACCGAATATTCGTTGCGTTTAGTAATAATATATTTTTCTTTAAACTCATACTTTATGAAAAACCGCTTAAAACATGATTTTTTTTATTAACTCAGAAAGTATTGATTTATTTCGAAAACTTAATATAACAACTTTTGCTTAGAATTTGTCTTTCTATCGATTCCTGGAGTTATTTTTATTAAAATAATTTTTACCCCCGAGAAGGGGTGGTATCTACCCCTAGCGAAAAAGCGCAAGTTGGCACTATGTCACTTTTGTTTCATATGGCATCCCCCACCTCATCACCATTTTTCATGAAAATCGATGGAGGTTCATCGAAATCGGAGGTTATAGCTGATTTTTGCCTTCATTGACTGTACTATTATGAAAACAAAGATTGAACTATATTTCCTTGATACTGTTACATGTGTTGTGTACTAACTCATTTAGATGTGATTTTATGGTAATTTAATGTCTGACTGACATGGAACCTACTCTTAAAGTGCCAACATTTAGGGAGTTTACCCTATAGTGTAATGTTTTCTTGTCTTATAACTATTAATTTTATTCAAAATGATTAAATGAAATTGGAACGATATAGCCCACGGTTGTACTGATACGATCGTCATTGTTTAAAATTATTGTTGATTTATTTATTGTCTCTAGTACGATTTGATTTGGCGGGCTATCTGAAAAACGGTTTTTTTTGTCTGACAGCTTCAAATTTGAGTTTTTTCAAATAATACTTTGGAACAATGTTAGGAACAACTAGAACAACTTGGAACAACTCAAAAAGTATTGAATTTCAAAACATGGGGGGCTACCATAAAAACGTTTTTTTTTGTCTGGCAGCTTCAAATTTGAATATTTTCAAATAATACTTTGGAACAATGTTCGGAACAACTAGAACAACTTGGAACAACTAAAATAATATTGAATTTCCAAACATGGGGGGCTACCATAAAAACGTTTTTTTTGTCTGGCAGCTTCAAATTTGAATATTTTCAAATAATACTTTGGAACAATGTTCGGAACAACTAGAACAACTTGGAACAACTAAAAAAATATTGAATTTCCAAACATGGGGGGCTACCATAAAAAGGTTTTTTTTGTCTGGCAGCTTCAAATTTGAATATTTTCAAATAATACTTTGGAACAATGTTCGGAACAACTAGAACAACTTGGAACAACTAAAAAAATATTGAATTTCCAAACATGGGGGGCTACCATAGAAAAACGGTTTTTCTTGTCTGGCAGCTTCAAATTTGAGTTTTTTCAAATAATACTTTGGAACAATGTAGAACAAACATAGAACAACCCAGAACAACCTAGATAATAATAAAATTCAAAAAGTGGGGGGCTAACTTCACAGAGGTCTCACGATATTGACTAATGTTTAACCGGAAGTGTACTTGCGTGCGACATCATTTTAGGCTCCACCAATCCCAAGGGTTTTGGGTCACGTGACTATAGATAAGAAAACTATTATCTTTTTCGTGGATTTTTGGTAAAATTATAAATATTTTTTTTTGTAAAAATAGTAAAAACCACTGCCAATATTCATTCTAAACGCAAATGCCAACAATTGGCACTTTATTTTTAATACTGTCAAATACCCTATTGGTTCAAAAAAAATATATATCAGCCTTAGTATTGTGAACAATTAAAATCTTAAAAAAAATAGTTGTCTAGGCGCCAAAAAACTGCTCATAAGTAGTAATCAGTAAAGTAAATCTTCACGAAACATAAACAGATCGACGCAGAAAAAAAAATGATTAAAATTATATACACAGGGTTAATTTTAAAACAGTAACAACCTCTTAGGGGGTGATTCTACCCATCAACAGGAACAACTTTTATTATGGGACCAACGCTGAAATCGCGAAAAAAAAATCTGCTGTTTCATACAAAAGTGCAAAGTGCTAATCGACCGAAATGTATGAAACAGCTGATTTTTATTCCGCGATTTCAGAGTTGGTCCCATAGTAAAAGTTGTTCCTGTTGATGGGTAGAGTCACCCCCTAAGAGGTTGTTGGTGTTTTAAAACTAACCCTGTGCATATAATTTTAATCAATTTAATTTTTTCTGCGTCGATCTGTTTATGTTCGTGATCAAAGCGGCGTATAAGCAATTTTGACTTTCCATTGTCGTTATAGAAAAAGGATAAACTACTCACCTTGAGTGCCTTCCTGAGCTCCTTGATGTCGGCTTCCTTGTTCTCCAGCTTGATGGTGAGGGTCTTGGTCTCATCCAGCTGCTTCTTCACCAACTGGGCGCGAATCACCACTGGCGGTGTCGGCTGTAACAAAATTAGATGAAAATGAGCTTTATTCAAATTGACTTGTTAGAAACTTCTTTAAAAGTATTTGTTTTTTTTAGGTTTTCACGCACATAATCATTAAATGAAACGGTACAAAATTGGTTTAGTTTATTATTTTTCAATACATTTGTTCAAAAAATGCCTTTACGAAGGTTGTAAGTATACATTGTTCGAAGATTCAAAATTACGGGCCATACAGCAGAGCGTGCGGTAAAATTCATTACGCACGCTCCGATACTTGGCACCACGCATATTCTTATTTAAACTTTTTTAATGATTTTTAACTGATTTTTAATTTTCATCGAACCTCCTCGGAAGCGCATTTAGTCTATACCTACCTATATCTCACTTTAATACTGAAAAGAGAAGAAGAAGAAGAAGAAGAAGAATAATTAGCTAAATAAATCATTTGCTATAAACTTTTGACCATATAAAACTTGAAAAAGTAGAAATAATATTTTAAGTAAATATAGTGCGAAATGTTAATTTGTAGCTTCTGTATACTGAAATAAGATTCTATATTAAGTATTAACCAAAGAACAGTACAACTTTTGCTGTCAAGTAAACTAGGGTAATAATTTTCTTGAGAAGTATGCCGAAATAGTTATTTATGGTACAAGTGCGGTAAATTGGTTATTACAAACGAGTAGACGAATATAATAGTGACCGATTTGTAAATACCAATCCGCACGAATGTCATACAACGTTTTTCAACACATTTGCGAGAAAACTCAAACTTTTTCTTATAAGAAAATTGCGTTCATTTTCAAATGGTGCCACGTGCGGGTGGTGAAAATTAGAACTACATCTTTCGTCTCTTCTTCTTTTAAAAAAGACCCGTAAAGAATACGCACGGTGCCATGTATGGGTAAAATGTTTACCGCACGCTCCGTTATATGGCTCGTAATTTTGAACTTTCGAACAATGTATACAGCCTCCGTAAATGCATTTTTTGAGCAAATCTGTTGAAATAGTATATTTCATTACTAGTACGGAATGGTTGTCATTGCAAAGAGTTCCGACAAATGTCTACCCGAGCCGAAGGCGAGGGTTGACAGTCGGAACGAGTTGCAATGACGGTTCCGTACGTGTACTGAACGACTATTTTTAATACAGTTGCGAAAAAATGAAGCTATTTAATCAAATTATAAAAACACAATAAACTCAATTAACTAATTATTTATTTCTTATAAAAGTTATAATTCACATATACATTGAAATTGGTACAGTTTTTTATACTAACTGGGGAAGTTTTACGTTGCATATTTACTGTTTGAAACAAACTATTATTAATTTCGTATGATTGTTCATGTATATTTGTCATACAATGGCGTTTGCTAGTTGATGGAATTGGATCTGATGAATTATCATTATCAACGAAGGTACTCGTAGATGGACGAACGTTCTCTTCAGCATGTGAAGGAGACGGACTGGACCTTAAATTAATGGATTGTGTGATCTTTTTCCCAGTTTCTAGTTTGTTGTTTAATGAATCACCAATATAGCTTTCTGCAACTTTGTCCGATTTCCAACCACCTAGTCGCTTTAAGGACGTCAAATTGGCTCCTGAATCTGCCAATAATGTAGCAAAGGTCCTTCTGAAGCTGTGCCCAGTATAACACTCAGCATCCGGCAGACCGAGAAACGTAGCTATTTCTTTTGGCATATTACCAAATTTGTTTATGCCGATTACTTGAGCTGTACACTTCCTTTTTTGGAAATTTTGAAAAAAACGGTCGGATTTTCCTTTTTGGGACCGCTGGTTCATATATTTTTTCACTATTGTGAGAAAATCTCCTTCAACAACAAAGCTTCGCGGTATCTTATTTTTTGTGTTTGGAATCTTGATAAGTAGCATTTCTCCATGGGCTTCAATATCTTTTAAAGTAATATTGGCTAACTCCTCTCTGCGGCCAGCTCCAACAACGCCAAAAATCAGAGCAACCTAAAAAAACGATTTGATTCATATAAATAATGTATTGACTGTATTTTGCGATTTTGTAAACTGAATACTAAAGAAAAATGTAGATATGTATACTTATTAATAAATTACCTTTGTGGCTAAATAACAATCATCGGGAGCTTCTTTCAAAAACCTTTCCACGTCATTCGATGTTAATATTTTCGACTTTTTAGTGGTAAACCCGTCCGATTGTTGTTTTAAGAAAGAATTTAATTTTGGATATTGACTTATATCCACGTTGTTCCTTATTTTCAGCATACTTTTTATCATCGAAAACCTTGACCATAACGTAGAAGGTTTTAATTTTGCTGAGAGTTCGGAAAAGTATGCCAATATAACATTTTCTGAAAAACTATTTGCTTTTTTCTCTTCTTTCCACGCAATAAATTCATCGTATGTAGATATGTAGCGAATTTTTGACTTTTCCGGTAAAATGTTCTCCGAAGCATTTTGTGCAATTATACTGAGTTCCGGTGGAGTTAATTCAAAAAAATTTAGGTCGAAATTACTCATTTTGTGTAAAAAACAACTAAACTCGCAAAGAAAATTTCGGAAAATGGCGACAACCGTAGAATGTAAGCAGTTTTTTTTCACCCATTCTGGTAGGCAAAGGGAACTGCCCATACAGCCAAGTCTTTAGTACTTAGTATTTTTTATTATAAGAAATGAAATTGAAATTTAATGATATGAAATGAACTGAAACCTTACCTAACTCATTCAATCAATTAATTAATTCTGATATTGGACAAATTAGTATAGGTAGCTTCTTTTTAAAAACAAATAAACCTATTTGCATGAATCGCAAAAACTTCTATGATTTTTTTTAGTTAAAACTTCATGGTTGTTTTTTTTAATAGAAATAATTTTGACAGCTGGGAAAGAAAACGCACGAGTTCGGGAAAGGCAAAAAAAAAGCACGAGTGTGAAATAGCCTAGATCCCGAACGCTACACGTCCCTGCAATACGCCACTTTTTGAGCAACTGTATTAAAAAATATTTTGCCTAAAGGGCAGTACAACTAGTTCAACTGCTGCCAGGTGTTCTACATTTACTCACCTTGTCGGTGTGTACGTTGGTTAGTGACATCATGTCGTATTCCTTGTCTTGCGCGAATGTCGCCAATTTAGTGACGTCAGCTGCCACTTGGGCTAACGCGTGCTTTATGGTCCGAACGGGGCCGTGGTCGTCCTGGAATAATAATAAATATAATGAATAATTTCCTATGCTATACAGAGATAAAGTTTGTTTATTTGTAGGACTATGATCTCAGGATGATGACTGAACTGATTTGGGGAATTCTCACACCAAAATTCTCTTAACTAAAGTTTGTTTGGTTTGTTGAAACATGGTCATTCGAGGAGAGCGAAAATCTGCAGGAGTTCTATAGAAAATTATAACTGTAAGTAATTTACTACCTTTATCTTTTACAAATTGCAGAAGATCATGTTGCAAACTACAAGTAATTGTCTCCATTTAATTTATTTTTATTTCCAACTGCGTGTAAATTGGTAACTATAAGTAATTATTACCGTACCACTTACTTACTGATATACTGTTAACTGCACAAGTTACTTTGTCTGTGGTTTTGCTGCAGAAGTTTGCCGCTACCTTTAGTTAGTTTTTAAACTTGTCCAGAGTTTTTAATTTTTGAAACGACAAGGCACACGTATATATCTATATAAAAAAAATATCTATGTACTCACCTGCTGGTACACCTTGTCCACGCTGGCGGCCCACAGCTGGGCCAGCGTGGCGTGGGGCAGGGGCGCGGGCTCGCCGCGGTCCCCGGCGGTGGCGGCGCATGCGCACGCGGCCCGGGACGCGAGGCACACGGCGCGCACGCAACGCCAGAGGGCGCTGGCGCAGTCGCCGCGTAATCTTTCCACCAACTATGAAGACGATGATTTATTAAAACAGTGTAACGGTGTATATATATATATATGGTTATGCATTAAAATGTGTTGTTGATCTAACCCCTCCCTCCCCCACCCCCTACACCGCCGCCGCCTCAATCCCCGCGAACCTCCCCGAACCTCGTCACGAAGCAACCTCATTGAAGAATTGGTGTTTTATACGTTTTTTTCTAACTTAAGCTCACCTGCAGCAAATTTGCTTAATCTGGATTCCACTACAACCGACTTTATGCCATAGAAAAATTACAAAACTCCCGTGTCTGTTTGACATTATTGTGTAGGCTAAATCTAATTTTAGTTAAATTGAGATTAAGCAAATGTCCTGCAGGTGGTCGTAAGTTTTGTGTTAAAATAGCAGAGAAAGAGAGGAGTAATTGAAAGCTATCTGTTGAAGAATAGGTGTTTTAAACACATTTTTTCTAGCTTAGCCCTAACTTGCAGCTTTGCTAAATCTCGATACAACTAAAACTACCATATGAGACCTTAAAGGCGAGACAGACGACGCGCGCGCAACGCCAGAATGCTGGCGCAGTCGCCACGTAATCTTTCCACCAACTGTGGGGAAGTCCCTTCTGCTGCCTATTCCATGTGGGTTTCTTTCTAGTAACATTTTCTTTGGATTTAAGTATCCTATATGTCAATCCAGGTCATAAACTAAAAGCGTATCAAACTTCTTCAAAATTCACTCTATAATTTATGCGTGATGTTTAATTACAAAAATCCACTCATCCATACAAACTTGCACGTTTATAATATTAATACGACAGAAGGACGTAGTAGAAGTATAACTCTTTAACTATTGCTCTTTTATTTTATAAAATACTAGCGGCCCGTCCCGGCTTTACACGGGTGTATTAAATAATATGGAAATCAGCATCCGAAAAAACAACATGGATAAATTTATACAGATTTCGAAAGCAGCCTCTTATGTAATTCTTTTCAATTGCCTTTTGGAAGCCATGCAACAGACAGACCTTTTGACTCTTTGACATATGCAGCCTCACTCCGGGCGGTAACCGTCTCCAGTAGGGGTGTTCGCTAACTGCTATTGACAGAAGGATATGATAATCACCGAGTTATTTAGTGATCCACTGCTGCCATATTAACATCTAATATATAAACTTCTCGTGTCACTGTGTGCGTAATTGAACTCCTCCGAAACGGCTCGACCGATTTTCGTGAAATTTAATATGCATATTCAGTAGGTCTGAGAATCGGACAGCATCTATTTTTTATCCCCCTAAATGTTAAAGGTGGTGCAGCAATTATTATTTTTTTGACATTTTTTTTGTTTTTATTATACATCATACAAAAACACATTATATCTTAATTTTCACCCTTCTACGACCCATATTTTTATGGTGGTACGAAGTTCGCTGACACAGCTAGTATATGTATGTATATATATATATATATATATATATATATATATATAATAAATAAATATTTCCAACACTCACACCAATTAGCCTAGCCAAGTAAGCACTATAAGGCTTGTGTTTTGGGATACTAGGGTAACGGATAGAATACATATAATGTCCATATATAAGTATATTTATATATGAATACAAATTTTAACATCCATGACTGGAGTACAAATGCTCGTATTCATCACACAAATATCGCCCCCACCGGGATTCGAACCCGGGACCTCTCGAGTCGGCGACACCATGAAATGCGGCGTACAAAACACTCGGCCACGGAGGTCGGCCGTATAAGTGTATATCTTGTCTCAATAAAAACATAATATAATCACCTGCACATCGATAGGCACCGTATGCAGCCTCACACCAGGCGGCAACCGTCTCCTGACACTCTTCAACTGTTGTTGTAGGGAAGCGCTGGAGTTGCTTATGGCTTCGTGGAGTTGGCCCAATTCTTGTTGCCGCTCTGACGTCTGTGAATAATAATAATACACACGACTGAAGTGAAACTTCTTCATCTGTATTTTGTATATATATATATATATATATACATACATATAACACATATACTTTGTCGGATTACAATACTAGTATACTAGATTAAGGTATTGTTCTAGCGCAAAAGTCTTAAACATAATCCATATCCATAAGTGCATTCCAGAGCCGAACTGCAGTAAGGGTTTGAGACAAAGTTAGTGTGGTGAATATAATGGTTAATAAAAAAATCTCTCTATACCTGTAGCACGTGCGTAAGGGCAGTAGCATCCGCTTGTAAGGCTCTCGCTAGCGCGTCCAGAGCACAACTTGTATGCAATACCGCGGCTCTGTCTACTGAAGCGCCCTCCACAGAGTTCAGGTTTAGAGCTGACCACATCGCCGATAAGTAGGTCCAGCAACGTTCCATGCCTGTGGAGGATAAAACAAATATAGAATACATACTAATACTAGCTGTCCCAGCGAACTTCGTACCGCCATAAAAAAATAGGAGTTGGTGGTAGAAGGGTGAAAATTTAGGGCTGTATGTAATATTGTATGATGTATCATAAAAAAAAAGAAATTGTCCAAAAAAAATATTAAAGGGTGGACCACCCTTAACATCTAGGGGGATGGAAAATAGATGTTTCCGATTCTCAGACCTACTGAATATGCATATAAAATTTCACGAAGATCGGTCGTGCCGCTTCGGAGTAGTTCAATTACGCACAGCGTGACATGAGAATTTTATATATTAGATTATAAATACAAATACGATGTCTGTCTGCTGCCTCTATACGTTAAATAAAATTTGGTAAGTTTGAGTCCCGTGAAGAGACAGGATATTATTTATCCTATAAATATACTGATCCTGTTTTAATATGACGCCATTAATACAAGGAGGTATGAAAGAAATTAAAAAAAAAACTGGAAACATCTGCAGTCGTTAGCACCCGCCAATCCACACCGGGCCCGGGTGGTGGGTCATGGCCCAGTCTCCCTATTCCATCTATAGGGAAGGCCTGTGCTCCAGTAGTGGGGACATTATTAGGCTGTTGATAATGAAAAATGTATACAAGCTCCGTAAATGCATTTTTTGAGCAAATGTGTTCATAAATACACAAACAAGTTTTACATACTTACCATCCAAAGAACAGTTCTCGTCTAATTCGTTGCTCTTCAGCAGCTGCGTCGCTGCATCTAGCGCCTTTTCTTGCTGCACAGCGTCGGGTAAAGCGCTAGCAGCGCGTAATAGTATATCCGGGGTGCAGCTGTCTAGCGCTGCAGTCCACATCGCGACCATACACTGTAGGAAATTATTAAATTATCAAGTTAATATAAAAATAAAATCTATAATCGCGATTAAGTTTAATAATTTAATTCTTACAGGACAATAATGAAAATATTGTTTCAAACTTTCACATTGTTTCAAAATCTACGCAGACCAGTCAGCAGACGGGACTCAAACTCGCACCCTTCGCTATCCGGGCGAATGCACTGAACATTATGCTACCGTGGCCCTGATGGTTGTGTTGAATTTTCTCTAGCCTTTCTTAGGCTGCAAGGCAGCGCCATCTCTCCGCATTTCTCTTCGCATATCTCTGGTGCTAAGAAAGTGTAGAGAAAATTCTAAGAAAATTGTGAAGTGTGCGGGTTCGAGTCCCGACTGCGGCCTGGTCCGCGTGGAATTTTTTTAGATTGAAACATCTAGAAGCTAAATGCATAAAAAAATCTTTTAAAATTCAGAACTTTGCCATTAGGCACATACATTTCCGACGAGTGCATCTTTTCATTCTGATATTTAAATTTTGGCACAATAAAATATTTACACAGAGTTCAGGTACAGAAGCTTATCACACAGAGAGAAACATTCGCATTATTCTTGCAAAACCGATAAAGTGATAATTATAAAGAAAAACAAGTATCAAATGATTATGTTCACCAACTTTTTATGAAAGCTAAGTCTTTAAACCTCAACTCTTAAAAACTGGAGGAAATTTTCAATATTACACGATAAACTTCCATCGAATTCGGTATTATTTTCTTACTTCTCTGATATAGGTACCAGCATAGGACAAACACAATGACATACGAACCTGTATCATATGAAGTTGGTACTCCAATTGGCATCGGAAACTGTACTGAACAGCTGTATGGGTCTTGGTGACAGCCTCCCGATCCCACACGTTCACCGCTGGGAACCTTGGGAAAAAATAATAATGGTGTCGATTATGTTAAGTTAAAGAATCAAGGAGCTCGATGGCGAAAGTGGTTGCGCGTTCGGCTGCGATCGTTGAATTTAAGCAACTTTCGCAGTGGTCGGTCATTGGATGGGTGACCAAAAATCTTATCTTTCTTGAGTTCCTTCGTGCTTCGGAAGGCACGTTAGCCGTTGGTCCCGGCTGCATCTGCAGTCGGGTGCTAACGACTGCCAATCCGCACTGGGCCCGCGTGGTGGGTCATGGCCCAATCTCCCTATTCCATCCATAGGGAAGGTCTGTGCCCCAGCAGTGGGGACATTAATAGGCTGCTGATGATGATGATGATGAAAGAAACAAGGTGGGTGATATCGACTGCGGATGCAACCGGGACCAACAGCTTAACGTGTCTTTCGAAGCACGGAGGATAGAAAATTTTTGGTCACCCATCCAATGACAAACCAATACGAAAATTGCTTAACTTCAACGATCGCAGTCAATTGCGCAAACCACTTGCATCATCGAGCTCTTCGCGAGCCCCAAGCTGCCGATTATGTTAAGTTAAAGAAACAAGCGTATACCAATTGTAAATAATAAATATATATAAATATTTCCAACACTCACACCAATTAGCCTATATTATGGGATACTAGGGTAAGGGATAGAATACATAAACCGATACATATATAGAAATACATATTGAACATCCATGACTAGAGTACAAAATGCTCGTATTTATCACAGAAAGAAAGAGTCTGCCACCACCGGGATTTGAACCTGAGACCTCTCAAGTAGGCGACACCTTGAAACTCGGATTACATACCACTCGGCCACGGAGGTCGTCTCTAATAGTGTTCCAGGAGCTCGATGGCGCGGAGGAGCTCGATGGCGCCAGTGGTTAGCGCGTTTCGCTGCGATCGTTGAATTTAAGCAACTTTCGCAGTGGTCGGTCATTGAATGGGTGACCGAAAATTTACTATCTCGAGCTCCTCCGTGCTTCGGAAGGCACGTTAAGCCGTTGGTCCCGGCTGCATCTGCAGTCGTTAGCACCCACCAACCCGCGATGGGCCCGCGTGGTGGGTCATGGCCCAATCACCCTATTCCATCCATAGGGAAGGCCTGAGCCCCAGCAGTGGGGACATTAATAGGCTGATGATGATGAGTTCTGATTCATGACAAAATAAAGCTCAATTTTTTTATTATTAGCATTTTCATATTTTAACTAATTAACTCCTAGATTAACAAATCTCCGCCCGAACTGCGGAAGGTGCGGGTTCGAAACCCGCCCGAAATCTGGCCCGATTGGATTTTTTTCAAGTAAAGTTTTCTCAAAATATATAAATTTTGAGAAAACTTTGGTCACCCATACAATTAACAACCGTTGCGAAAGTTTCATAATTTCTACGAGTTCGGAATAAGTACTTTTAAATGTTAGGATTAGTTTCAATGTGTATCGATATCCCGTCCAATATGTAATTTACTTTATAAAAATGCCAGAACATCGATTTCCGAAGAACTCGAGTCAGCATTCACCAAAAATCCTTTCAAAAACGACTGAACCGATTTACCTATAATGAGTTTTACATGGACTCTATATAAACTCGAATGCGACAACCAGTAGCGCGATTCAGCGGGGTACAGCGCCATCTGTTGACCGTCAAAGTTAATTAAATTTTGTCAAATCGAAATTGATTTTTGAAATCTTTTTAAAAGGATTTACAAATTTTATGTTACATACGTATATCTGTAAAAAAAAAATAAGTTTTTTAGCCTTAATTGCTACATATTTTCGCCAATTCTTGTTCTTTTATTATATCGTGCCTTTTCACAGCTAAAGGTAAACTTTAACAGTACCCAACGTCAAAGTTTTAAGGGAAACTAAACAGGAAACCTACTCTATAAAAACTAAATGATGATCGAAATTCTGCACGTTTTACTCTGTTTTTTATTGATTTCGAAAATTCGTTCGTCCGAAAATAGTATGACAATTAAATTCTCCAAGCCAACTCTAATTCACAACACTATTGAACCAAAAGTTGACTTTGACAGCTGATTGTTCGATATTTTAACCTCAAATTGACGAAATGAAAAGTGTTACCTTTTTATTTTCGTTTTGGGATTTTTGCTAAAATTAAACCTAAAATTACTACTAGAGTATTTTTAATTGAGGCTGCTTAGGGTGAGGATCATTTTTTAGTATGAAAAATTTACAAATAAATCATATTTTTTATTTATTATTGTAATGCCAATACTTCAAAGCGTTACACGACAAATTTAGGTTGACATACATTTGATTGCATCAACTCTACAAATTAGTCGGCTAACACTGTCAAAAAAAATTGTTTTGAAATAATAAACGTTATCTAAAAAGTGTAGAAAAAAAGAACTCACAAACATAACTCATTCCATTCGTTCACGATAATTGTCTGTGATTCCGAACTTTATGTGCGTGTTCGAAAATGAAATAGAGTAGAGTCACTGACAAAGAGGTCACTGGCGAAATTTCGTTTAAAATTCGTTCGTTGCCGGAATTTCGTTTCGGAGAAAGAGAGTAAAGCTCCTGAAATGTTGGTATTTTATGTAGAATGCTTGCTTAAGCCAAATATTTAGCTATAAATTAAATGAAATTATTTTTCATAGGGGGTACCATACATGAAAATTATGCGAAAATTTATTTTTGTGTTTTACCCCAGCATGTGACGCATTATTGTCCAGAGCTCGTCGAGTAGAATAAATATATAACAGCGAAATGGGGGGCCGACAAAGTTGTCATTTTTAGACTATTTTTAATACGGGGTCTATCTCTAACTGAAAACTAGTTAAAAATGTGAAATTTTGTGAAAAATGTTAAATACAGGATATGGGACATCATTTAGATGTCCCATATCCTGTATTTAACCAACTACTACTGAAAACGCCGATTTATTATTAACTTTGTCAGTTGTGTCAAAAACAAAAATAAATGACTTTATGGAATCAATCCGAATAGGCCAGTTTTTTGAACATGTAAATGATACATGTTTTATAACTATAGAAAAATTAATTACTAAAAAAAGTAAAAAAAAAACAAACGAACAAATAATATTGTTTCTTGAAATTGTTATGCAACGCGAAATAAGTCCAACATTGCTTTCGATCACTATCTTGTGTCATCATCATTCGTGACTTTTTTGAAAACCTTTTTTAAATAAATAAATAAAAAATCACCTCCATTACTAAAATAAAAAATATCAATATAAAAATAAAAACAAAATGTTTGCTACAAAATTTAATGTTATGACTTCCCTTTTGTACTTACGACGCTCAATAGATGGCGCTGTAGTCAACTGAATCGCGCTATGGTTTCTTGTTTGTGTGTTTATAAACACTCCTCAATGCGTTTTCTCGTCCAAATCGGTTCAGTCGTTTAGACAAGGATTTTTGATTATGCCAAGTCGAGGTTCAATGAACTTCGATCTGCTGGCATTAAAATTGATCAAATGAAAAATTTAAAATGGAAAACTATATTTTTGTAGAATAGCTTCTAAGGAAGGATGATGGATGTTTTCGGTGGGAAAATAAAACTGTGTATATTTTACAGAAATGTGTTTCTTTTAAACAAGAAGAAAAAAACTTAAGACTACTGACATCCCTGCCGCAGGGCCAATCTAGGGCGCACACATGCCTGCCATTCAGTGTTAGAGCTAGAGCCAATTTAGAAATAGCCCCTGCTCCGCCTCCATAAACGTGTGTAGGCAACACGTTTACGGAGGCAATGAAGGGTCATCCCCACTAACACCCTAGATTGCCTCTGCGGCAGGAATGTCAGTAGCCCGCTTAAGCTTCAACGAAGTTGGCAAAATATTTTTTTTTTATAGGAATGCAAGCAAAAACGTTATTATTCGTACAGCTTACTCCGGTTACGTTATCGGTGACATCTAATATAAATTAGTTAAACTTTATATACAAGATCATCTAGCTAGTACATCTAATACGCGCCAGATGGCCCTGTAGAGTATATCTGTATATAAATGTCTCGATATTTTATACTCAAATCATGCATCGTCGAGTCGAGCGATCGTCGAATTCGTTTTAGCTAAACATCGAAATTTATTTAATATCGATCATCCCTAGTTTTTCCTAAAGCCGCATTTGCTATTGCAATACAAAATTTATTGCGTACGTCATAATTAATTTCATCAACATTCTTCGTTTACCCGCCGACGAATTCAACTAGTTGATCAAAGAACTGTTCAACGGTTGATTTAATTAGTCCTTCTGTTTAACCGTCCGTTAGTTTAACGCCCATCGCTAATTTCATAAAATAAACTACAACTAAATATAAAACTATCACACGCGTATTCCAATGTATGTATATTTGTACTCCAGTCATGGATGTATCATATGTATTTCTTTATAAATAAACTTTTAAATGTACTGTATAGGTATTCTATCCGTTACCCTAGTATCCCATAACACAAGCCTTACAGTGCTTACTTTGGGACTAGGCTAATTGGTGCGAGTTAAAAAAAATCATTTTGATAGTAAAAAAACTATTAACGCACAAGGTATAATCGGGAACGTTCGCACGCGATAAAGCTGATGGGCTGGGTGACCTTTAACTATTCTACCGCGCTAATGAGAAGTAAAATAACTCGATTTGACCCATCACCTTCATATTTTCACTTTAAGTTTATTTTCAAATTGCTCTTTATTTATCCCTCTTTAAATTGGTACAATTTTCATGTAGATACGTTTAAAAGTTTATGCGAAGAAAAACAAAGTTCAAAATTTTGAGCATGTTTTTCTGGGAAGCGGTAAATCCGAGTTGTTGGACTTTTCGCTAGCGCGGTAGTATTGTTTCTGGACAACATATGACTCAAATAAAACCAAATTCGGCCTGGTTAAAGAGTGGAGTTATGTATTTCTTTCTTTACTCTCACCACCTTCTTAAGAAACGCGGAATAAGCTTAGACTAGTTACGTACAGAGATGTAAAAGATACATTAAAATAGTATCTTAAAAACCAAGATACCAGGTAGTCAAGTATTTAGATAACAGATACAAGATACCTTTGAAAATTGTGACTTATTTAAGTTTAAAGTATCTAAGATACAAATACCGGACACAAGATACGTATTTTCAAAATACAAATTTCAGCCCGATCCGTCCAGTGGTTTGGGCTGTGCGTTGATAGATCACTATGTCAGTCAGTCAGTCATCTTTGAGTTTTATATAATTTCGTTTTGTTCATATCACTCAAATGCCATTTGTCATTTAATGAACCGAGACAAAATGTGGATTAACTAATCCATGCTAATTCTTTGTTTATCAATAAGCGGGTCAAAGTATACTTGTAGACCGAGATGTAATTTTCTTTTTAAATAAAATTTGCACTAGATATTAAGTCTTACCTCTCTCGAATTTGCCCTAATATGATCTCCGCTTTGGTGTTCAACCTTTGGAGCAGCAATAAAAGCATAATTGCGTCGTGGTCACCTGTAATAAAAATAAAACAATTTTAATTTAAAAAATATGAAAAACAAGCATGCGAAATCAAATATGAACAAAATATATAATAAATTTAGTAACGTAAGTATAAATACTTTATTTGTTTTCTCTATGATGGCTGTCTCGATGAAAGCGTTGGTGATTCTAAAAAAATGTGCACCTTTTTGTATTTGTGTGAAAATATAAGTTTCTTGAACAAGGTCAATTTCATGAAAACCCTTTTGTATGGGTATTTAGTGATTGCTTTTCTCTTTTTTTTTTGTCTTTTTTTCATGTTTTGTTTTGTCCAATCTTAATTTAATTTCATTATTTATGTTAGTAAATTATATGATTTATATACATTTTTAAGTGAATACTGATATATAGTAACGCCGTTAGTATCTAATGTGTACATAATGAGTTTCTGTAATTGACCTTAAGATTGTGTTTATATTTTATTGTATTAAATCCACAAAGAAAAACGCTGTAGAAACTTTGTTACAGAAAAATAATTAAATAAATAAAGTCTTTAGTCTGTTTCCACACCAACCTATTACAAATTGAAGGAAGAAACCGCAAATACTCCACAATAAGACCAAGCGCACATTGAGCCACTAAATGCGGCTTGGAGTTTGTCTCGATGGAGCTGCCATGTCATCGGACAAAAGCTCCAAAGCAAAAAAGATTAAAAAATGCTGCTAGTAGGTTAGTGGCGGCCACTCGAATCGGTTATGGCTAGGGTTACCATTTAGGAATTTCAAAAGTCCTGACAAAAATCCTGACATGTCGAAAAAAGTCCAGACTTTTAAGTCACCAAATGGTACCGTTACACACTTATTTACAATGGTATTGTATTTAAATCAATGCGTACATTTATTATTCATTCATATATGAAATTTAAAAAATCCGGACAATTAAGAGATCCAGATGATGGTATACAAGTCCGGACATGTCAGGACTAATCCGGACCGATGGTAACCTTAGTTATGGCTCAATTACATTTGGTCGATAGCCAGTATTGGGGAGATGGGTGGAGGGTGCACAAAGACATTACTCGAATTCGGACAACCGAAGCAATTTTTACACTGGAATACAGGCTGGAAGACGGTGTCGGGAAACCAAAACAAAAACTACTCAATGTGCGCTTGCTCTTCAGCGAAGTTAGTTATTGGCCATTAACCATAAACCATTGTAACAGGCTTTAAAATGAGAGGTGCTTCTCAATTCAGCTGAAAAAAAGGATAATTACTTTCATTACTAAAAGATTTTTGAATCAATGTTTTTTGTTTTGTTTGAAACAATTTTTCTTTACTTCTACTGGTGGCAAAGGTTGATTCTGCCCGTGTTTTGTTTTTTTAATTTATTGAATACTAACCATGGACTACGGTTTTACTTACATTTATTTGAGGAAAACGGTTATAATTTGTAAACCTTAGATGATCGGCAAGCTGTGAATCTTTTATTAGAATTCTAATCACAATACAGGATTTATGAGCGATTTCAACCGTTTGCGCAGCACACGCAACGGAAGCTCTGAACTGGAATATTTTTTCCTAATTTCCGCAACATTTTTCTTTGGTATTTAATTCATATTTGGTCCTAGTGGCAGCAAAATAATATGATGTTTTATTACTACTATTCCACACAACATATTTCCCTTACCGGAAGTGGTCATGAAGTGGTCGGGCAGGCAGGCGGCCAGCATATCAGCCCTGGCCCCGGCCTGAGTCAGCTGCAAGGCGCGCAGCTGCAGATCTATAGACCTGGTGGATGCCCTGGACAGGTGGACTAAGGAACCCAGTTCCACTGGAGGCGAGGATCTAGCGGCTGGTTCTGGGGTGGACTCCTGCTCGCTTGGTGCTGGTGATCCTGGAAAATGTTATAGAAAAATATGTCATACTGTTGAATAACTAGAATAGCTCCCTGTACGTACTGATGTAAAATGAGAAAAAAAAAATTCATGTTTTTTTCTTCAGATCATTTTTTCTTTTTTAAGATTTAGTTTTTCTTTGTAAAATGAATGTTTTATTAAGGTATTGCTCAGAAAAATTGCTTTAAAAACTAACATTCTGCTAATGTGCTCTGTTAACTGCGTTCATACTTCAAACAAACATAAACCGAACGAAGAATTCGAGGATTTTCCCGTCCGTCGTGACGTGAGTGTTGCCAATTTATTGTTCAAAGCTTGGATGCTTGTTTGGTAATTTCCAATCAATAAAGTATGGTAGGTTTTAAAACAAACAGAAAACTTTAAACTCGTAAGCATTAATCTTTAAGGGAAACTTCCTTAATAATAGGGAATATGCGTGTAATTCAAATAAGCCTCATTTTATTTATTTATAAACTTAGTTTAGTTAGTTATAACTTTAGTTATGAGTACTCCCTCCATCAATATTTGTTAATAAAATTTATTTTCGAGCAAGAAATTAATGATATATAATAAGTGCGAAAAACTGTGGGTAATTCAAATTATTTGAAACGCGACGAGAGCAGTGCTGACGTAAAAATATATCAAACAACAAAAAAACATGATGTTCAGAGGATATTCCAATGGAAACGAGATATGACCTAAAACAAGTAGACACCGAGTGCAATTTCTCGTCGTATAGTATATGTCTAGTTACAGCTAATATAAATAACACTATTTGTAGTTATTTTTTTTTTTATGTTATAGGGGGCATACGAGCAGACGGCTCACCTGATGGTAAGTGATCACCGTCGCCCATGGACACTTGTAGTACTACTACTACTTATATTTGTAGTTATACTGTATGGCACAGCAATCAAAATGCAGGTGAACAATTAATGTATAATTTCACATTATGTAATGAAAGGTGACTTCATGAATCATCTCTGTCAACTTGACGACTCCTTTTTTTTTTACTGAATTACACAACAGACTTTAAAATATCCATTTTTATGGACTCCATAAACATTATTATTATATTTATTACGTGAGATCATTTTCTAAAACTTGTCAAATACCCTATTGCTATTATAAAAGTTAACAACAAAGTTGTCTCTAAGTACGGCCGTTCGTTTCGTTTTTTTTTTAAGTACTAGCATGATGACTTCTCCATTCCGGGTGCCGTCTTTGTTGTTACTTGTAAAACTATTTCCTTATATATTGTAGTTTTCGTTCAATGCGAGAGAGCAACATGATATTATTTATACAAAATCTTGTTTATCCATGTTACAGTTATGAGATTTGGCCTATGTATAAATCAAATATTAATTTGATATATGTAATATTAATATTCACAATATATACATGTATGTACATTTAACTAAAGAACAAATAGTAACATATTTATAACTAAAAACCTTATATATAATAAATAAAATACATTATTAAAAGAAGTCCCTTTTGGCAAGGTTCCAAAGATACTGGCTGCGTTCCCCCTTTGAATAGCTAGACTAATTGTTTGTCCGAGGTAGGTGCCAGCTCTTCGGTCTCCTGTGATGTCGACCAACCTTATTGCTATTTCCTTAAAAAGCCTTATAGCGCTTGGACCCCACGGGCCAAGGGTCTCGACGCCGAACGGGACTAAATCATATTCGGAGCCTAAACCCCTGTATTTAACTTTTTCAGGCGCTTCGCAAGCAAATATAAATCAAATATTTTGTACTTAAATGTATTGTATGTAATGTATCAGGCTGTATGTTATCCTTAAATAAAAAAAAATCAAGTGTTTCTATCTGTGCCCTAGTACCCCTCATTACAGGCCTTACAGTGCTTACTTTTGGGCTAAGCTAATTGGTGAGTGTAACAAATACTGTCTGATTCTCCAAATCATAAACTAATTTTGCAACGCAGGTGGATAGCGCGTTCGGCCTGAGATCCTGGAAGTTAAGCAACTTTCGCAATGGTCGGTCATTGGATGGATGACCAAACTACTCCGCGCTTAGGAAGGCACGTCCAGGCTGCATCAGCAGTCGTTAGCACCCAGCACTCCGCACTGGGCCCGCGTGGTAGGTCATGGACTAATTAATCTCCTTATTACATCCATAGGAAAGCCCTCTGCCTTAGCAGTGGGGGCTATAATAGGCTGATGATGAAAGATGATGTCCTTATCTTTCTCTGTAGAGAATGAAAGAGAGACTGTTGACAATGTCGTTTAAGTTTGACGATCTCCGTGGTCGAGTGGTTTGTACGCCGGGTTTCATGGTGTCGCCGACTCAAGAGGTGCCGGATACGAATCCCGGTGGGGCAGATATTTATGTGATAAATACGATCATTTGCACTCCAGTCATGGATGTTTAATATGTATTTCTTTATAAATCTCTTATCTATTAGACAAGTCCGTCCGTCTGTGGTGCTGTTTCAGCGGCCAAACCGTAAGAGATAGATAAAGAGAATATTTAAGTTATAAATTAAGAATAGTCTGATAAGACTACAAACCGGATTTGAGTAACGTAGCACTTCCGGTTTTCGAGAAATCAGGTTTTGGTGAACATTTGGTTCACTGGTTTGCTAGTATACTTATATATGTATTGTATGTGTATTCTATCCGTTACCCAAGTATCCCATAACACAAGCCTTACAACGCTTATTTTGGGGATAGGCTAATTGGTGTGTGTTGCAAATATTTATATTTTATACTAGCGGCCGCCCGCGAGTTCGTACGCGTGGAGTTAGTTATTAGCACATACTTTTTGACCCCTGTTCACTGCTCGTTCCCCGTAGGTGATAGCGTGATAATATGTAGCCTATATGTTGACCCGACTTCTTAATAATATTCGTCCCAAATTTGAAGTAGCCATGCAGTACTTTTTGAGTTTATCCCGGACATACATACAGACAAAAATTCTAAAAACTATATTTTTGACTTCGGTATGTAGATCACACCCAAGTATTCTTATAAAAAAATGTTCAATGTACAGTTTTGGCTTTAATACCATTTTAATATATGTATCTTAATATAAATAAATCTCGTGTCACAATGTTTGTCCTCAATGGACTCCTAAACCACTGAACCGATTATAATAAAATTCGCACACCATGTGCAGTTCGATCCAACTTGAGAGATAGGATAGTTTAAATCTCAAATTATAGTCGCAATTTTAATTTATTGCAAATTATTACTTTTGGGCGGTACGAAGTTCGCCGAGTCAGCTAGTAGATTTATAAGTTTTGAGAATCAAGTCAGAATCAGGCCCATTAATTTAATATTTGTAGTTAAACCGATTAGATCCATTCTCACCTTGCTTGGACTCCAGTTGAGTGCGAATCTCATTGTACTGCTCTGTCATCTTCTGAACTAATTCTCTGAACTTGAGTATCGTCGCGTCTCTGTCCATTATTGTTTCTAAAGCCGCTTCTCTTTCACGCACCGACTGGAAACACAAAAATTTGGAAAATCTAAAAGTGCACGCCTCGCATTCACGAAACCCAATAAATAAATTATAAATTGAATTTGATTAATATTTTTAAAACGGTTATCAGTTCAATCATGATTTGAAATAGGGTTCATCCTCAGTATAAGTGGAAATTAGTTCAAAAGGATTTATTACAATTAATTGCGTATATTGTTGTTTAAATCTAAAAAAAAAAACTAGAAAAAAATCCACCCTGACCAGGCAGCAGACGGGACTCGAACCCGCACCCTTCGCTATCCGGGCGAATGCACTAACCAATTATGCTACCGCGGCCCTGATGGCCACGTCAAAATTCCTCTAGCCATTCTTAAGCGTCTAGACTAGAAAACACATTGAGAGTGTTTACTTTAATTAAAATTAGCGATTCGTCTATCTATCATGCTTTATTATTGTGAAGCCATCATATAAAAGACAGACAGAGCGTGTTAATGAGGGCTACCGTTTTCTGCCTCACCAGATGGCGCCACTGTTGAGTGAGGTCCTAAATTGTAAATTTTAAAGTTTATTAATACGCACATGAAATCAAAGGTTACATTGAGATCGTATTTTAACACAAAAGAACCATATCCTAAACATAATAGGCCATGCCACAGTGACGCGCAGTTCCGTTTTATTCGTAAAAAAATGGGGACATAATCATTTTTCTAAGCTCAAATTTTTAATAACTGACATTCATTGCCACACAATTATTCACAACATTATTTTAATTAGAAATAAACCCGCGTAGTCAACCAACATTGACATTTCGGAGACCTCACGCTACACTAGCGCCTCTAGCGGCGGATTCATACGCGATAGCCCTCATTGATTTCTTTATCATAGGAAAAGATAGAAACGAGGTAATAAAAATGTAAACTCCGATAGCACAGTTTAAACCTTATCATCATCAGCCTATTAATGTCCCCACTGCTGGGACACAGGCCTTCCCTATGGATGGATTAGGGAGATTGGGCCATGACCACCACGCGGGCCCAGTGCGGGTTGGTGGGTGCTAACGACTACAGATGCAGCCGGGACCAACGGCTTAACGTGCCTTCCGAAGCACGGAGGAGCTCGAGATAGTAAATTTTTGGTCACCCATCCAATGACCGACCACTGCGAAAGTTGCTCAACTTCAACGACCGCAGCCGAACGCGCTTACCACTGGCGTCATCGAGCTCCTCAAACCTTTAACGTTTAAACCTTAACCTCCTTATTAATAAACGCAGCCGAAAAGCTTGGATTAGTTAATCCATGTTTTGTCTCTGTTCGTTGAATGACAGATGGCATTTGAGTGACATAAACAAAACAAGGAGTAACTAGTCCAAGCTTATTCCTTGTTTCTTAATAAGGGGGTAGTGGTTTTAGATGTTATCATGCATAGTTATAAGTTATAGTTATATTAGTTACTAGCGGCCCGCCCTCGCATCGCTTCGGTGTAGAGCTGAAGTAAATGTAGACTACAGTTTTTGTTCTCAGGCTTGTATTATACACAATGACATTCATCTATGATTCTTCTTATACCTGCATGCAAAGTCTCAGCCCGATCGGTTTAAAATTGACAAAGTTTCATACAACCTTTCATTCAATATTTTATCCCCTTGGAGGTAGAATTGATCAAAATCCTTTCTTAGCGGATGCCTACGTCATAACATTTACCTGCATGCCAAATTTTAGCCCGATCCGTCCAGTGGTTTGGGCAGTGCGTTGCTAGATCACTATGTCAGTCAGTCAGTCACCTTTGAGTTTTATATATAGATAGATATATTATCACTGTTTATTTTCCTAATGAAATATTCTCCTACCTCCCTGGTGGCCGCGTGCGCCATCTCCAACTCTTCGCGCAGATCCATCTCCAGCTCCCGGTTGGACTCCACCAGCTGTTCATGAACTTCCTGAAGAGCCTCCAGCTCAGACACGTCCTGTTTCAGCTGTTCCACCTGAAGAAACGACGCACAAAATCTTAACAATATATAATTGCTCATACTGCTTGACACACCAAACATTTAACGAAAATTATAGCTATTAACGGGATTGTTACCATGTACTTTGTTTTTTATTAGTCTCCGATATTGTATTGTGTGAAGGGAACAAATGCGAGTTAGTGTTGCCGAGCGATAGTCGACTATGGATGATTAATCGATAGTCTATCGATAGCCAACCAATCGGCTTGTTATTAACGATCGAGCAGTTTGTTATTAACGAACTACAATAGTATCGAGAGGATCGATAGTATTGCACTCATTCGATAGTATTGCCTTGATCTGTGCTATCGATAGTTTCGATACTATCGATTGTATCGATAGGCCAATCGAAAGGGTACATGATTTTCGATGTAAACTGTCGATAGTTTTAATATCGATAGTTCGGCAACACTAGTGCGAGTGAATAGTGAGAATGTAACCACTGGTAGTGGTATCAAGCGCAATAAAAGACGACGAGTGTAGAACGTTATGTCTGTCAATAACATCTATCCGCAATTAATTCAGTGCTGAAATATAGGAGACCCTTAAAAAACAAGGTACATGGTAACAATCCCTTTAATAGCTGTAATGTTAGTAACCAAATCTCAAATGCCATAATGTTAGTGACCAAATCTCAATGGTGTGATCCATGACAAATTATTTGCAATCAATATAGACTTATTCTATGATCATGTCTCTTTGACAACTATTACATTTATTTGAGTGCAATTAAGCTGGTTTTATTTTGTGTTATGACAATACAACCTGAGGACAATTTTGTTTTGTTTATCTTAATTTTTTAAATCTATTTAGATATTTCAAAGCCACTTTCTCCACCAACTTTACAGATTCTCATGAATCAGCTGGTAACTTAAGTCAACCAATAGACCCACGGACTATACTGCGTTTATAACAAAGGCCAAATTTCAAAGATCGTTTAAAAGTTCTTATTAATATAAAGTTTTTTTATCATTAAAACGACCTAAGTGCATTTGTCTCTATAGAAGAAAACAGGCATTTTAACAGTTCCTATCAAATTTGTATCGGGCTAATTAACCCCTGAACAATTACATAGTACCTACCTAGCTCTATAAAAAAATGTAAGCTCATGACATTTTTTTATAGAGCTAGGTAGGCAAATGACTCCACCCCCCCTGATGATAAGGCAAAGTGCTGACGCGAAGATAGCTGGTTCAGGAGTTATACGAGTATATTGCCACACCAACCATCCTCACCTTTAAGGCCTGCAGAAATGCTTCTTTACGCCTCTCTTAAAGGACCCCAGATTGTAGGAGAGGGGATACGTGCGCGGGCAAAGAATTCCACTTGCGAATAGTACGACAAAACAATGAGTCACCAAATTTCTTTGTTCGTGTAGGAATAGTGGCCACAGTTAGTCGATGACAACGTATACCAACGCGCGTGGACCTACCTGGTCTTCCAAGGCCATCTTCTTCTCAGCCAGCTGTTCCACCATCTCCTCAGCACCTAGGGCGGCATCCACTTGCTCCCTCAAGTCAGCCACCTGCGCCTCCAACTCTTCAACCCTTGAGGAGAGCTTTTCCTTGGTGCGACTGAGTTCTGCTATCTCGGATTTGTATTGCTCTAAGTCCTGAAATTTAAATTTCAAAATCATTTTTAATAACAAGCTTTTATTGAAATTAAAGTTGAACGCAGAAGTTAGGTTACTCGTATTCGATTCAAGAATCCATTCCATTAGCTACCACATCACGAGCAGGCACAAAAAATTACTAGTCCGCCATTGTGGGCCGACCGCAATGCGAAAATCAAAATGACCTTGACAATCTTAAAAAAAACCTTAATCGGTATAGAATTGTGTCAATTCTGGCTTAATTCTCTTAAAACTAAATTTAACATCAACATTTACTTTTAATTCTGTATAGGGAACGACACGGATACACTGTCTTCAAATTTAATTTTAGTTATAGAGATTCATTCCAGGATCCAACTACCTTAAAATTCAGCTGCAAGATTTAACACGAACATATTACATACGAGTACATAGCAAGTTAAATAAACGCTTTTAAACAGCTCACGATGAATACTAACGACTACAGATGTGGCCGGTACCGACAGCTTAACGTGCCTTCCGAAGCATGGACGAGTGAGACATAATATTTTTTTGGTGACCCATACAATGACTAGCGCGCGGAGCTCTTCCCAACAAGCATGATATTTTGTGGGTAACCCGGCGAAGGATGAAAGGCTACGAGCGTCACGAGTGTCACACGCGACAATATAATTAGTGATGTGAGCGCTGCTCCATTCCCCTATGCCTTACCTTAAGTTAGGTTATTTAAGAAAAGAAGTTTCACTTCAGATGTGTGGTCAGTGCAAACTAATTTCTTTATTCACATTACCAAAACATTACAGAGATATATTGATTTGAAATATCGCACGACGTCACGCCTTGGTAAAATTTCTACTTAGAAGTGCCGACACGAGGCTATTGCTGGCATTTCCAAATATTCGTGTTTTTCAGTGTAGAACTGTGCGCCAGCTATGACTGCAATTTGGAATCTGTACCCTTAGCACGAAGCAATATCGATTTCGAATAGTTTGTGAGTGCAAAATGTCATTGTCAAAATGTGAACTAATTTTTAGTTCTCGTTACATCCGTTATGGCGCTGCTGCATTTCGCACTCGCAAACTATTCGAATTCGATATTGATTTGTACTTACCCCAAGTACAAATCAATATCGAATTCGATATTGGTTCGTGCTAAGACGACTAATCTAATTTTTCGCTAGCTTCAAAATTAGCTGCTAGTCGCTTCCTGCTTGACACACCGCTTAATTTTAAGTTAGACAATGATCATGAACTCACCTTATGCATCTTCTGCATTGCATGCTTATCGTGCGCGGAGAGATCTCTTAGTCGCACCAGGGTGTCTCTTAGCCTCGTGTTCTGCTGCTGAAGTTGTCGCATCTCGTATCCGGTCGCCTCGCCGGCCGCGTACGGGTGCTCTGCATCACACGGCACGCATGCAGGCCCGTCTGTCTGTCTGTCTATAGTCGCCCTACAGTTGTCGCATCTCGTATCCGGTCGCATCGCCGGCCGCGTACGGGTGCTCTGCATCACACGGCACGCATGCAGGCCCGTATGTCTGTATGTCTATATGTCTGTCTATAGTCGCCCTATATTTGTCGCATCTCGTATCCGGTCGCCTCGCCAGCCGCGTACGGGTGCTCTGCATCACACGGCACGCATGCAGGCCCGTCTGTCTGTCTGTCCGTCTATATGTCTGTCTATAGTCGCCCTACATTTGTCGCATCTCGTATCCGGTCGCCTCGCCGGCCGCGTACGGGTGCTCTGCATCACACGGCACGCATGCAGGCCCGTATGCTGTCCGTCTATATGTCTGTCTATAGTCGCCCTACATTTGTCGCATCTCGTATCCGGTCGCCTCGCCGGCCGCGTACGGGTGCTCTGCATCACACGGCACGCATGCAGGCCCGTCTGTCTGTCCGTCTATATGTCTGTCTATAGTCGCCCTACAGTTGTCGCATCTCGTATCCGGTCGCCTCGCCGGCCGCGTACGGGTGCTCTGCATCACACGGCACGCATGCAGGCCCGTCTGTCTGTCCGTCTATATGTCTGTCTATAGTCACCCTACAGTTGTCGCATCTCGTATCCGGTCGCCTCGCCGCACAGTGGGTGAAAAAAAGAGGTCCCCTTTCATAGGATTTTTGAAAAAATAAAAATGTTTATTATCCGTTTAAGGTATGCGGTTTTATTGGACATATCAGTACATTGAATAATAAAATAGTTTGGGGAATTTCCTTTTAATCTAACACCATAAAGCACGGGCTTTAGAGTTTCAAATGTATGAAAACGGAATTTGTTTTGCTCATAACTTGTATCGGTCTTCTACGGTCAAGCTGAAACTTATAGGGATTATTACCGGGTCTGTTACGAAGCCATGTGACCTTTGACCTTCACCCCGGACGGCCCCGTTCAAAAGATACGAATTTTTCAAAATGCTTATTAGGGTAATTTTGCTTTACGGGGTTATGTGTCTCAATAAACAGTTTGTTTATGTTTCTTGCCCAGCATTTAGTTATTAATATAACACAGATTATTATCTAATAAAACTACACAGTAGATAACGCCACCATACAACTTAACTTTAAATAAAAGCGTCCTTATTCAAAAGATATGGAATTAATATAAATAGATAAAAGAAATAGTTTTAAGAAAAAGAAAACAAGAATACAATATTGTAAAGAATTACAATGAAGTCGTTTACAGCCTACAATTTAATCTTTTCTTTGACAATCGCTTAAAAGCCGCGCGCCATTAACGAGAGCATCATTACATATAAACAATACAAACTCTATTGTTGCAGGTTTTGAGGAATTAAAAGGGTTACCCACAGTCATTACCTGCCGTTGTTTGCCTATAATAATTACTGATTATTTGCTTTTATTGTGTCATTTGTGCCGTTAAAACTGGTGAGAGATGGTACTGATGAAATAATATGGGAAAACCCCAAAGCGTCTTCAACGTTTTACTGTCGACCCATTTATTTTAAGTTTGCTAAAGAGAACGATTTGAATGTTAAAGAAGAAATGACTTCAATTGATACGGAAATTGCTGCTCTACATCCAACTGTTATCGATGGTGCAAATGTAAAACACGTTCTGCATATGACGATGATTGATGGTAAAATAACTTCACATTTATCAGATACATCCACAGCTACATGCGATATATGCAAAGCAAAACCAAAAGAAATGAATGATATCGACAAGGTTACTCAGAGAACCCAGTCTGTAGACATGTTTAAGTTCGGTCTGTCTTCCCTCCATGCACGAATTAGATGCATGGAATGTATCTTACATATTGCTTACCGTCTCGACTTCAAGAAATGGCAAGCTAAGGGCGAAGATTTGAAGCAACAGTTAAGCCAAAGAAAAAAGGCTATTCAAGAACAATTCCGGACTGAAACGGGGCTACTTGTGGACGTTGTTAAACAAGGGGCTGGTACAAGCAACGATGGAACCTCTTTTATTCACCCACTGTGCGCCGGCCGCGTACAGGTGCTCTGCATCACACGGCACGCATGCAGGCCCGTCTGTCGGTCTATATGTCTGTCGATAGTCGCCCTGCAGTTATCGCATCTCGTATCCGGTCCCCTCGCCGGCCGGTTGTCGCATCTCCTATAGTCATATCGTCGTATAATGATACGTTCAGTTGTTGCGTATGTGACCTTTTAATCGTCATATTACCACAAGAAGGCAGATCAAGAATGACTTAAGTTTCGTGTCATCCTACGTCTTTGAAAAAAAGTCGAGTCCTTTACTTCAACGAGCTCCTAAATACCGTTTTACTGTCTAGCCTGTCACACTGTTATTAGTTAAGTCTGTTAAATCTACACTGTGCGTCGAGAGAGTCGGTCACGTCCAATATTTTACACAATAATTCATTGATAAAATACTGTCCAAGTCATATGGGCCTTAAAATTAACACAAACACATGACATGCATTCATGAAATAAAAAACCAAAACGAACAACACATTCACTGCAAATTTTGACATCCTAAACTGGACTAAAGAGTCCAACCAACTGCAAATTTAAACCTAAATTGGACTACAGTTGGTCTTGGTTTCAACCTTATGTCCTCTTTTTAGCAAACAAAAGTGACAGCATCAGTATTAACTTTAGACTACGTTTTGTAATAAGGCGTTTTATGTTTATAATGGGCACCATTCGTGGATATTGGTGAATCCATCTGATGATAAGTGAGAGTTAAACAACTGGGCAGTTGTATGGTAGACCCAAGAGGTGAATTCTGGATTTCACGAACGCGGCAGAACAACATAAGGGGGGGAAATCTTGCACCTTGTGAAGTACTCCTACCATACCTGAACCCTTTATATAGGATCGAACGTCTAGAGCAGCAAAAAAGATTTCAACAACCAGCTATGACATAAATAATCCAATTAATTGAACAATTACAAAAACAGTACTTCATCATTCTCCTTCTTAGAATTTTACTCATTTGAACTTTAATAACTTAGCTGTTTTAATAAACATCACTATAATCATTATCAAAGCAGTGAACGTGCATGAAATTTTGAAAAACATATGGAACTATAAATGATACATATTAGTTAAGAATATATATATGACGCTATATGAATAAACCCATTCATTCATTAATACTCAAATTACTTTAATTATACGTACACGCAATAGTTGTTTATGTACTTCTATAAAATAAATAAATGTATATATAAATAAATAAAAAGTATATCGCAAAAAAACATATAATATGTGATCAGAAAAAAGTATTCATTTAAATAAAACTTTAAAAAGAAGTTTTATTTCCGCGTGTATGAAACGTTAGTACTAAATTTTAGTTGTGTGTCTTGCTGTCACCTTACAGAGAAAGAACAAAGGTATTTTTTTCTTAATCTTGCAAAATATAAAGATCACATATTAACACATATATACTAAATATATGTTTGACTCTTTGGAGAAAACAGCACTTCAACTAAACATGTTTGATTTTGATTAGAATTTAAAATGAATTTGATAAAAAACTTAATTAATGATACCAAGCTGTTTTCTATAAGGATATAAATATCAATTTTTTATAATTATATAACATATAACTTAGCTTAAGGTGGGTGCTTCCTAAATATATATTGCAATGACCTTACCACATACATAACAAGACATACTGACTGAACTTGAACTCGCTTACCATATTCACATGATGCTTTTAAATAAAACGTTGCATAAATAAATTATTCTGTCAGTATATCAAAGTGCAATTGTGACTATAATTGCTTAATATAACTACAGATGGTAACTCACTGGTCCAATTTATTGTTACATTTAAGTTACGTTTCATTTTATTTAGAAATGAATTAAAAGTAAATTGAAAAAAAAATGAGTTTTTAATTTACCTTTAATTAGTATAATTTTCTTCACATATCCTTTATCATTAACAATTCGTACACAAATTTACATAACGTATGATGAATTCAAAAACAACATGAGAAAATTTGAGTTAAGATTAAAATTTGAACTTTGTAATAAAATTAATTTATTGTGAAATAATGAAAAAAAAATGTCCATTCTACTCTAACTCGCAAAGTTTTTAATAGCGTAGAATAGAGACACTTGATTTAAAGGGTACTGCCGTAATATTTTAATAATATTATTATTCAAAAATATTTAACCAGTGTAATACCATCAGAAAGTCCAGACAATTTGATGAGCCAACTATGTATGACAGCTAATGCGCGTACCGGCAGAATGTCTGTCTATTGGTGAAATTATTCGTATGTTTTGCAAACGAGTGTAAAGAGATTTCAATAAGAGCTCATCAAATTGCTTTTATTTTAATCTGCTGAATGTTTGACTAGACGAGGCATTTTAGCTGACTGTTTAAAGAAATACAACTTATCGAATTTCCGTTCGGATATTAATATCGCATTCTAGCTCGTCTAAGCTTGAAAATATTTGATATGGTTTACATATTTCGATCTCACATATTAAACTTCGTTCACAGAAACTATGTGCTACGAGTCAGGGCTGTGTTATCGCCACTCCGGCCAATGACATTCTTTTCTCGTGGGACGTAATTTTCCATTATTTTCGTTTGTAAGCGATTGTGTTAAACTACTTTTTAATCTTAATATGAATTGCTAACAAACATTTAAGCTAATCATTCATTTCATTATTTATTTTAAGTAATTCCATTGTAGTTTTATTTATTTGTCGCACATTAGAAGGCTCTGTCAATCTACAAGAAAGACATCTCATGAAATGCTATTAATTAACTATTAACAGTAGCAGCAAAAAATTATGTATATAAATGTATTTTCTTCATGTTTCTGCTTGTCGGATCGTATTATTTACAAATAATTTTGCATTATGCAATAGAGTTTCAAATATTTTAACCAAAAGAATACAACCAACTAAAAGTCGAAAATGGAAGTAAAAAGTAATATCTCTTATCTAATAGACAAGTCCGTCCGTCCGTCCGTGGTGCTGTTTCAGCGGCCAAACCGTAAGAGATAGATATAGAGAATGTTTAAGTTATAAGTTAAGAATAGTCTGATAAGACTACAAACCGGATGTGAGTAACGTAGCACTTCCGGTTTTCGAGAAATCACGTGATTTCCATTTCAAACGAAACCACACAAAATCTCCGAAGTTCCCAATTAATTAAATACATTTTTTTTTTTTGGTGAACATTTGGTTCACTGGACTGCTAGTCTGTTATAATTTTTTAAGCATTTAACTGCTTGACGTTTAAATCTAAAGAAAATATAATTAGAAAAAATTACACGCGGACCAGGCAGACGACGGGACTCGAACTCGCATCCTAATATCCGAACGGCATTGGCATAACAAAATCTCATTAAAAAGAAAGATAGTGGGTATTACCAATAGCATAGAGTAGAATATACTCTGACAACCCAAATGCGTTGACTAGTTGAAAACTAAAATGTGTTTCTAAGCTTCTAATAATACAATAATATGTTTATACCTGTGACTTCGTATGCGTGTGATAGGAATAAAACAAAAAGCTATATTATATTAATATGTAAAATATTGCTTTATATCTATATTGAGACTAAATATATATTTCTATTCTCGAGATTGTAAGAAGAATATAATACGGTTGTTAACTGGATTATTAAATACAACTATAAGAAGGTAACGTTGTTCAAAATGTAGAATATAAATTACAGCTATTAACGGGATTGTTACCATGTACCTTGTTTTTTATGAGTCGCCGATATTTCGGCACTGTTTGCAAGCGCCACGATCACGGAGTAACTGAAGTAATCATAACCATAATCAATCAATCAAAAACATTTATTCAGTTAAGGCTGTTACGAGCACTCATGAATGTCTTGAAGCTACGCCATCGGTTCGTAAATCTACTACGGGAGACCTTGTACTGAGAAGAACAGACAAGAAACTCAGCAAGGGCTGTTTTTTCCCCCTGTTTTATTATTTACAGATTCGAAAAGTTGAAAAATGACTTCGTAGTAGATTCATGAAGTCACTGTTCATTGCATAATGTGAAATTATACATTAATTGTTCACCTGCATTTTGATTGCTGTGTCATACAGTATAAATACAAAAAGTGTTATTTATATTAGGTGTAACTAGACATTGGTGCCAATACTGGCGTGATTCTCTAAACTTAAAACTAAATTTAACATCAGTCTCTCCTTTTCATTCTGTATAGAGAATGACAAGGATATACTGCTGTCAAATTTAGTTTTAAGTTTAGAGAATGCTGCCAGAATCGACACCATTAACATCTTAAATATCAAAGTAGTTAGGGCAGACTCATCTCCGCTGGCAGCACCCGTTCACGAGCATGACGCATGAACCAGCCATCGCTTCGCTCAACCATATTTTAGGGAACGTAATGACTCGCCTCACACGACAGTAATTGCGGGTAGATGTTATTGTCAGACAGGTACCCGCAATTACTTCAGTTACTTCTCCGTGATCATAGCGCTTGGAACAGTACTGAAATATCCGAGACTCATAAAAACAAGGTACATGGTAACAATCCCATTAATAGCTATCATGTTAGTGACCATTAAAACAATATATATATAAGTTTAAAACAATATATTGTTTAATATAAAGTTTTCTATGGCAAAAAGGAGCAACCATTGTCCAACCTTAATCGCCATAAAAGTGCGAAAGAGATAACAGTGCTGCTTCCACCATATTTCCATTAGTTTTCATAGTATATTTATTTATTTTATGGCCACTTTTAGTTCTGTTTTCAAACAAAAATATCTATTTATTATCCCTTATCCTCAACGATATTATATACCCTAGATACACCAACACGAACAAAATCGTGGCCGAAACCTGTCCAAAAGGTATAATGGACGATCCACAGAGCTTCGTAAAATGATCGCATAGTCAAAAACAATATAAGGCATTATTTAGACATTGAAAGCCACTTTTAATGCACAATGTATAAGGTCTTAATTAAAACTCATATGTCAAAAAGTTATGATAGTTCGAAATGCAAGCTAGTAAAATTTTACAACTTATTGCTATATGCGGAAGAATATAGACCTTCGATACTACGCGCAATTCTGAATGCGCTGTAGCAATATAGCAGGTACAGACCGCGAGGAAAACAGACGGCTATATTACCGACCATGCATTTTAATATCACAAATATTTTCTGTTAAATCGGTTCATAGTAAGTATTAGAAAAAAATACTTCAAATGCTATGAATTAACAAACATTGATTAGATACCTGTCGAAAAAACGACACTTTACATACTGCAACTATTTTTTTCGCATTATTTCACGGTCCGCGCGTGACTGTGAATCAAGAAGTGCTTGAGTGGTGTTCAAGCACTTCTTGATTGGGACACATTTTGAACGCACGTGGTGTATCTAGGGTATTTAATATCTTGGCTTATCCTTGCCCTTAGTCAACAGCCCTATTATGAATAAATAAATGCGTTATGTATATAGTCATAATTTCTATAGAATCAAAAAACTCTAATAAGACAGTGTGACCTATTAATATCGGAATAACTATTGTATAAAATGGTCCCTCTCCTCAATGCATGACACTATTAAAATGTAGAAAGTGTATAGATTGCTAGTATTATGTCTTAAATCTAAAAACTAAGTGCTGATATAAATCGTGTCAAAGATCCAGATAACATTGAGGTGCATTGAAGCAGTACATATATGGAAAACCAATTCGTTTATTCCATCAAATTCATGGGTATATTTAGTTTTTTTTTTTAAGTATAAACATCACAACATCGCCACAATATTTTTCTTTCATCTCTAGCATATTGCATTACATTTTTGACTGTTATTAAAAAAATCAGACCTTATCTACAAGCACCGGTGGTTCAGTCGTAGAAATGTCGCCTCCTACGCAGGCAGCCCGGATTCGAATCCCAGTAGAGGAAAGACTTTTTTTACTAATGATTTTAAAACAATCACTTCCATCGTTGTTGACAGGAAGGGAAGCCACACAGACTGGCACCGTAACGCGTTAGCGTTACGTAACGAAGCTGTTTACCCTCCCATAAGAAGTTATCACTTCAAAAAGTTATTCGTCATCCCTATTTTGTAGACTAAACCAGATGTTAAACACTTACGTATATTCCCCCCCGCTTCCATCTCCGCCTTCATGAGCTGCAGGTCCAGGGTGGCTTCCTCCAGCTTCTCCCTGCACTGCTCCAACTCCAGCTGGAGAGCTTCGGCTCTTTCTTCTGCCATTTCCTTGTCCAGTGCTGCCATCTCTGCGGCCTCTTGGAGTTCGGCGGTTTCGTCATTATGAGCTTCTAAAGCTTCTTGGGCTTCGCGCACCTGAAATTTAAAAATAAGTATTACTAAAATAATAGTTATTTATGATATTAGTGCGGTAAATTGGTTTTTACCAAAGAGCGTACTGTAAAATTTTTACCGCACGCTCCATTGTATGGCCCGTAATTTTGAACTTTCGAACAATGTATACAACCTCCATTCATTAATTTTTTGAGCAAATGTGTTGAAAATAAATATTTCTAACACTCACATCCATTACCTTTACGCCAAAGTAACCTTTATAGTTAGTGTTATTTATGTATTTACATTTCGAGTGTCACACGCGACAATACATATACTGTAGAACCCGTTTAATACGATCAGGCTTAATACGATTTCTCGCATACGATTCGTCATCCCGTTTAATAAGCTAAAATACCAACTCGTACCACACATATTACCCTCTAGCAGCAGCATAAAATTCGATGGGAATGTGAATAACACACAAGAAGAGGCCCTAAGTTATAATGATTAAGTAGAAGATAAGTCAACTCTGATTTTGTCTTCTTTGAATCAGAACGAAGATGCACTGCAAAAGTTAAATTATGTTGAAAATTGCTTGTAATTGCTAATGCCTCAAAGTCTTTTCGACAAATTAAAATAAGTGCTTAATTTAAATAACGTAATAATAAATAATATTACACTACATTTTTATAACATACATAATTCCTAAATATTGTACATACAAATTCGAAATTTCCCTATCCCGCAAACCCGCATAATACGATTTCCCGCTTAAGACGCGTTTTTGGTTGAGTCCCCGTGAAATCGTCTTACACGGGTTTTACTGTACATGAGAGATGCGTGCGCTGCTCCATTTCCTTATGCCTTATGCACCGCCTAATGTTAGGCTATTTACGAAAAGAAGTTTTACTTCAGATGTGTGGTACGTGCACACAACTTTTATTTTTACTTTTGGGCAGCTTATGAAATCAGATATCAATATTTCTTTATTCAAATTGGATGTACAGTACAACGCTTTTGAATCGTCCAATTTTTTTCCCCTGCCACTCGATATTGGACATATTTTCTTGCTGCGGAGAAAAACTAGCGAAAAAACTCCACAACATTAAAAGTATAATGTACAACATAATGATTTGTAAATGTTGTATTTACAAATCATTATGTTGTTACAACGTCAATACAAAAATGATTTATTTAATCAAGAAAACCTGTTGGAATGATTGGAACAGTTCAAACCCAAGCATTTTTGTATGTAATATAATCAGACACTTTGTAATAAGCTTTTTTAATAAGTGTTTTTTTACACTATCTTTGAATTTATTTATGGTTAACCCTTGGATATTGCTTGGGACTTTATTGTTTATGCGAACACAAAGACCTTTAAATGAATTATTGATTTTGTGAAGCCTAGTAGCAGATAAAGTTAGTTTATGATATGTTGAATTCTTATATTTTTTTGTTAATAATAACCAATTTGATTTATTAGTGCATAAAGCAACAAAATACCTTTGGAAAAAATATAGATTTCATTAAGATAATATGATATAATAATAAAGATAATATGAGGAGTTCGATGGCGCCAGTGGTTAGCGCGTTCGGCTGCGGTCGTTGAAGTTGAGCAACTTTCGCAGTGGTCGGTCATTGGATAGGTGATCAAAAATTTACTATCTCGAGCTCCTCCGTGCTTCGGAAGGCACATTAAGCCATTGGTCCCGGCTGCATCTGCAGTCGTTAGCACCCACCAACCCGCACTAGGCCCGCGTGGTGTATCATGGCCCAATCACCCTAATCCATCCATAGGGAAGGCCTGTGCCCCAGCAGTGGGGATATTAATAGGCTGATGATAATGAAGATAATATAAAATAATAGAGAAAATTTTCAGGACGCGTAAATGATGTATGTTACTTAGATTATTTTGATGTGTAAGATGAATTTACTAACCTCTTGTTTAGCCCTTTGCAAGTCTCTCTGCAGTTGCGCCTGCGACTCCATAATCCTGGATTTAAACTCATTGGCCTGGTCCAACTGTAAACGGACTCTCTCCAGTTCTCTTATCTTCTCTCTATCTTCTGCGCGACGCACTTTCAAAGTCTCCAGCTTCTCATTCAGGTCTACCACTTCGGATTTCAATTGCGTTATCTGTGAAAGATTTACGGTCAGTTTTATAAGTCTGATTCAGCTCTGCAACAAAAATGCTGTCTGGATGTTTTCAACTGATTTATATGTTATTAGGTTATTTATGGGAATAGGGTACTTGACAGTATTAAAAATAAAGTGTCAATTGTTGGCATCTGTGTTTAGAATGAATATTGGCATAATAATTTTACTAAAAACCCACGAAATAGTTTTCTTATCTATTGTCACGTGACCCAAAACGCTTGGGATGGGCGGAGCCTAAAATGACGTCACACGCAAGTAAACTTCCGGTTAAAGTGACATTACATTGTATCGTTTGACGTTTTAATAACAGTCGTGTGACGTCACACACTAGTAAGGCGCTATATTGTCCAGAGAAACGTTTTCGCGGCAAATTGAAAATGGAGTTTTTGATTTGGTTATTTTTACTGAAATACACAACAGAATGATGAATATCTACTTTTTACGGACTCCATAAGCATTAGTCAATAATGAGAGATCGTTTTCTAAAACATGTCATATCACCCTATTATGTGAAGGTGTTCTGAAAACGAAAACAATACTCAAAAAAATCCAGATCGTCAGGTTATTTTGTAAAACACAAAAAAATATTATAAAAATGGTATTTTGGGTAAATAAAATATGGGTAAAATTTTATTTTGATTACTGTTTTTAAATGTAGGATAAATGTTCAATCTCAGATGATCTCTAAGCAGAACGTCTAATTAGCAAATCTTCGTAGTCTCAAAATGTCTGTATCTATCAACACATTTTGTTATAACGAATAAATTTCCATACGTTTATTAATAAGTTTTACTACCTGTCACGTGCGTATACACATTTTAAAAATAACGATTTTCTAAATAGACGTTCTGTTCCACGATTTATTAGGAATATTTTCCCGCAGTAAAACGTAGCCTATATGTTAACCCAGGGTGTCAGCTAACTCCATACCAAATTTTATTAAAATCGCTCAAGCCGTTTAGACGTGAAGAAGTAAGAAACATACACACTCACAAACTTTCGCCTTTATAATAGCAGTGTGATCTGAGATTCGGACCTTTTGCTACATGGAAATTTTTCTAATTTTTCAAGGCTTTCTGCTAATTAAACGTTTCGCTGTGTTAGACTTTTTGCCACTTAGACCTTCTGATCGTGAAGCGAAGAAACACTGTTTTAATTATATCTATTTTAAGTACATTACCTCTTGCTGTGCTTGTATGTTGGCCAGCTTGTCTTCATTTGACGACACAGGTTGCGGTGAAGTGATGCTTTGCCCCGGTGTGTACTGAGGTGTCAGTGTCTCCACGAACCCAGTCTGCGATAAGCATTCACCAAACATTTAAATAATGGGCCTTTTAATTTATGACGTAATAAAGATATACTACTGTAAAATTAAGTTTAAGGATAACAGAGGTGTCGATTCTGGTATTCCCTATTCATTCTGTATCCCGTGGTCTGTGTAAAAGGCAGATTTCTGCCAACGTCTAAAAACCCCTGTCTGTGAAGATGGCACATTTCTGCCACGAGTTGAGAAAGGTTTTTTATATTTTCATATTTTGCGTTTTATCATGTTTTGTAATGGTTTTTAATTTACACATCTAATAAATAGATAAGTTTGTACAGAAACTATTCCGGTTAGATTCAAGACATAAATGAAGCCTGCATGTACAGTAGAACTCGTATAATCCTTAGTCTCGTCTAAGGTGAATGAACTTTTGTATCGCTTCTCGTTGGCCGCACTTTTTTTAAAGTTCATCATATTTAGCCCGCTAAGAGACAAATAGCGAAGGTTTAGTTCTAAAATTCTGGTTGGCACCATCCCGCTATCCTGCTTATATTATAAATGTGAAAGTTTTTTACTCAATCACGCGAAAACTACTGAACGGATTTGGATGAAACTTGGCATGCATATAGTTTAAAACCTAGATTGAGACATAGAATACTTTTTATCCTGGAAATATGTAAGTTTCCTGTATTATTCACAAAACACTTAAGTTAAGTTAACGTGGACGAAGTCGCGAGCGTCCGCCAGTCCTAATATAATATTATAAATATGAAATTTTGTACGTGTTTGAGTAAACTTGATTAAATTTTCTTTTACTAAAATACACAACAGAATGATGAAAATCACAACAGAATTAGTAAAAACCGTGAGATCGTTTTCTAAACATGTCAAACACCCTATTAGTATAAATTTTGATACATACTTCGACAAAAGATGCTCTGTTCTTCGCCGCCGAGTCTGGTGACACCGCTCGTTCGGTGGTAGGCGATGCGTACGACGTCAAAGACTGCCGACTGCTAGCCAGTGAAGTGCGTGAACTGCGCGAAACTTATTAAATAAATAAACATTTCCAACACAGACCAATCAGGCTAACCCCAAAATTAAGCACTGTAAGGCTTGTGCAAGGAGCTACATATATACAGGCTACACACATAAGCGGGCCGCCATATTCGGTTCGGCAGCATTAGTCGAACAACAATGCCGACCCGAAGTAATCGCATCACTGCAATTGTTGTACCCATCAATTATCTACATTTTTTTTAAACACACCAATAAGCCTAGCCCTAGCAAAGTAAGCACTGTAGGCTTGTGATATGGGATACTAGGATACATAAACTGATACATATATAAGTATATTAATCTAATATATAAAAATCTCGTGTCGCGGTGTTTGTGGTTAAGCTCCTCCGAAACGGCTTTCCCGATTCTCATGAAATATTGTGTGCATATTGGGTAGGTCTGAGAATCGTACAACATCTATTTTTCATCCCCCTAAATGTTAAGGGTAATCCACCCCTAATTTTTTTTTTTTCTATTTTAGATAAAAATATATTTTTAATTTTTAAATGATACATCATACACAAATACATACAACCCTAAATTTTCACCCTTCTACCACCAACCCCTATTTTTTTTATGGCGGTACGAATTGCGCTGGGACATCTAGTTTAATATATAAAATTCTCGTGTCGCGGTGTTTGTGGTTAAACTCCTCCGAAACGGCTTTCCCGATTCTCATGAAATTTTGTGTGCATATTGGGTAGGTCTGAGAATCGGACAACATCTATTTTTCATCCCCCTAAATGTTAAGGGTAATCCACCACCAAATTTTTTTTTTTCAATTTTAGATATTTTTTTTTTTTTTTGTGATACATCATACAAAAATACATACAACCCTAAATTTTCACTCTTCTACCACCAACCCCTATTTTTTTATGGCGGTACGAAGTTCGCTGGGACAGCTAGTTTTATATAAAAATCTCGTGTCGCGGTGTTTGTGGTTAAACTCCTCCGAAACGGCTTTCCCGATTCTCATGAAATTTTGTGTGCATATTGGGTAGGTCTGAGAATCGGACAACATCTATTTTTCATCCCCCTAATTTTTTTATAATATAGCATTAGTAAATACATATAACCCTGAATTTTCAACCCTTTACAATCAATCCCTATTTTTTATGGCGGTACGAAGTTCGCTGGGACAGCTAGTATATACATATATATTAAACATCCGTGACTGGAGTACAATTGCTGGTATTCACCACACAAACATCTGCCCCCACTGGGATTCGAGCCCGCGGGACCTCTCAAGTAGGCGACACCTTGAAACCCGGTGTACAAACCACTCAGCCACGGAGGTCGTCAATAATCGATTTTACTGACCGGCTGTGCCGATTTATTCAAGCCCGCTTATGTGTGTAGTTACCCTAACGTCCACTGTCATTTTCAAATTCCCTCTAAAATGTTGCCAAAAGCGTTTTGCACCAACCTACATATTTTATGGTTTGCATTGTGGCTGTCGTAAAATGTATTTAAAAAAATACTTTAATAGAATTCGTTTTTATGAATTAATTGCAAATGCTGCGTTTTCACCAGAGAATTGCGGAAAGCGTTGCACAAGGAAAAATTACTACCATTAGAATTTCTTAATTCTTCTAGGGTCCCCTAGTGCCTCATTAGCCTCTTGTGAATAAGTAAATATTAGTGACGTCATTAACTTCTATAGCATGACAACAGTGAACATAAGCAATAAATAAGCATTATTTCTTTTAGAAAATAAGTAGGTAAATACATATCAAATAAAACAAGTTTAAACGGTAAGATGCACAAAGTTTATTTATTTATTGAGGTTTCGCGTCCTTTACAGGAACGCAAAATCATGATTAATGATACAGTAAGTAAATCATGATTATTCTGACGCCGCGTTCCTATAAATAAATAAACTTAGTGCATCTAACCGTTAAACCTTGTTTTATTTAATGAGTGATGTGCGTGAAAATCTAAGAAACAAATAATAATATTACAACATATCATTTACCCATTTTACCCAATTTGAATGTACTCCTAGTAAAAAAAATACTCTCAAATTATAGTATCGAAACTAAAACAAATGCTTAAACAAAATACAATGAAAAACGCATGCTATGCTTAATTGCAATTACTTGTCGTTCCATTATTACTTGTAAATTAGCAAATTTTTTAGAATACTTTATTATTGGAGACAGCAAAATCGAGCCATTTTAATTTTTAAAGTATTTTTTTAATAATGGAATCGCATAACGTAATCATTTAAGCACTTTACAAAGCTCAAAATTGGATTTTCCACCCTGAGCAGAGTGAGCCCATTAAAGCCTCCGTTTACCTCACAATACAAAAATGCATACATCTTCTTCCACCAAGAAAGAGTCGAGCGAAAATGAAAAAGAGGGAAAAAAGAGGAAAAATTTGCTAGTTAAGTCGGAACTCTTTCTCGCTGGAAAAGCAATCCTATTGCATGTACACAAATACCACTCCGCTAGAAATCCTTAGTTCATTCCTCTTTGGCGGTGGAAATAAAGCTTCAAGTGGAATCAGTATCCTACATTATAAAAATAAAACTGTGCAAAGCTAAAATAAATGTTACCATAGAGAAATGTTACTCTTGCTTAGGGTCAATACTTTCTGAGAGAGCAGTGGGGCTTTTCGGCGCACACTTTCACAGACTATTTTAACGAGGCATATTTATTTCAGGCTATATAATAGACGGACAGTCTTAAAAACCTACCCCTTCATCCACGACATGCCACTGCGCACTACTGCTGTTTCATTGGGTATAGGCTATTTGACAGTATAAAAATAATGTACCAATTGTTGGCAACTGTATTTAATGCCGGCATTTAACTTGGCTGTTTGTATTTCCTATTTGTGAACTTGACAACAGTCTGTACTAATCATGCGTTATACAGAATGAAAAAGACAAGCTATTGTCAAGTTCACAACACAAATAGCCAAGTGAAGTGACGGTATAATAAAAATATAAGCAGCTATTTGACTACTCTGGGAGAACAAATGAGGCGCCGGCGAACCAAACGGTATAATGATAATACACATGAAATTAATTTTTTCAGGAGCTGTATAAAAGTGAATGACATACCTCCCAGTGAGCTTTTCGCATGGTTTTTAATTTATAAATTTAGTAATTTGAACACTGTTTTAGGTGGTTTTGATTGAAAATTATTTGAGGTTCAAATTCAACGAGCCCGAAACCTCCGGACTGTAAAAAAAGTAGTTTGACCAGATGCTTAATTATACCGTTTTGTTCGCCAGCTCCTCAAGTAATTAATATCTTTTCATAAAAAAATCATTAAAAAGAAATTATTTTTTGTCCTACGGCCACGTGACCGAGAACGCCTGGGATTGGCGAAGACTAAAATGACGTCACACGCTTGTAAACTTCCTGTCAAAGTGACATTACATTGTATCTTTAAAATTTTATGACAGTCATAAAACGTCACGTACCAGTGAGACGCAATAATGCCCAGAGAAAAGTTTTCGCGGCAACTTCAAAATGGAATTTTAGAATTAGATTTTTTTACCGAAATACACAACAGAATGATGAATACCCTTTTTATGGACTCCATAAACATAAGTAAATAACGTGAGACCGTTTTCTAATACTTGTCAAATACCCTATTGACCATTAATAATATATTTTGGTGTACATTGAGCAACGGTATATGTGGAAGTTATAATCGATCAAAGATCCGCTAAGTAGAAAATAGCCGCAGTCAAATAGCTAAGTAGAGTGTTTGTACAGAAGGTGAACAATTATGGGTATGTCGTTTGAAGTAGCATTTACAATTATAAAATACCAACCCAAAATTGGCGAAATCACCAGTTTTGGATTTATTAATTTGGAAGACATATTAACAATTATAATACCTTCTGTATGATTGAAACAGTGTTAATAATAGCATTATAGTTTCCTGATATTTTCAAGAGGTCAAGCGATCAAGAACAACTTCTTCAACTATGCACATGAACCATATACACTATTCTGATACTGTTTCAGCATAATAATACAAACAATGCAATGAGGCTTAAATAATGTAGCTATAATTCAAGCAACAGAAAAAGACAATATTTTACATTTAATTGGCAGCATATTTTCTTAGCAGGTGATTATTCCATGAACTACATTCTAAAACCATATTTATGCACGTCGCACAATTTCATATTACTTCAACTTAGTTTCATATAAACTTAATTCGTCAAAGTGAGACAGCTTCATGGGCGTAGCTAGGACAACCTCTCTACCCACCCCCTCTGCGTCGACCTAACGACGCCAGCTGTCCGTTGGCGAGCTACTTAAAGTTTTCTCACTCGCTCTAACGAACGGTTCTGTGCGCGACAGAAAGAGATGGATTGATAAAAAAAACTAATACCCCGCATAAATATGGTTAGTTCTCTGAAATGACGAATTTCGTATAGTTTCTTGCGCGCTTGCTAATCGTTCTATACAGATCGAAGTGCTTGATGTGTGCCAAAACAAAATAATATTTTAGCTTCAAAATAAATAAAGCTTTCCTTGACATCGAGTGAATGATGCACCAGGCCTGTACACTTGGGGACAATAAAATAGAGCAACATTATGAAGTGTGCAAATAGGTAAACTCCTTACTGTGAAGCTGAATTTTTTATCGATTACTTTATATAAATAAAGAGTTATTGGAGTTCACAAAAATGGATAAAATTATTCCTATTTATTCCACAAAGAAATTAAAATAACATAGCTTGCCCGATTTTTATATCCGGAAGTGTAATTTTTTGTACAAAACAAGCTACATAAAACTACCCTCTTCTTTACCTTGACATCGAGAGTGTGCCAGCCTTCGTCTGCGCTGGGGACGCCTTTCGACGCACACTGGCCAACGGGACCAGGTACAATGTTAGTAGTTAATTTACACAACTCTTATGTTATAGCTTAAATAAACTATACCAATTCATTGAGCCCTAATTGCATACAAATTAAAATGTATTTTTAAGATAGGCATATACCTCG